ACGCTGTGCTCTGTGCAGTAGGACAGCTGCATTGCCATCAGCTGCAGGGCTGAGGCGGGTCAGGAAGAGGGGTTGGGAAGCCAGGAACATGCATTAAATGTCTTGAATCTGGATGAATACATGGTAGGTTAGTTCAGCTGAGAGCGTGGCTCAGATAGAAAGCAGTGCAAAATGACATCATTCACTTTTGGTGATACGGCCGAGAGCCGTCACATCGCTCAGTGGCAAGTTCCTAAACCTGCAGAGGGCTTTGGCTAGCAGCAAGACCCATGAGCACAGATTTCACGCTCAGTTTCTGTGTTCTTTGGGTGACCTTGAGTGGGTTTTGTTTCTCACGTTATCAGCTTCAGTGTTTTGTCAAGCCCGGTGCCCAGTGTGGCAAAGCTTCACTTCTTTGTGTTGAGGAAAGGCAGTGCAGTATCTTCTGCCTCTTATCAGGTGTCCCTCTAGTGCTCTTCTCATAGAAGTTCATAGAACCATGGAGTTGTTAAGCGCTCCCTCCTTGCCTGTGTGCAGTTATTACATGCTGGTGACATTTTGGACATTAGACATCCGTATTTTGCTCCTGTGAGTGTCTTTATTAGTAGCACATAAAAAATGCATGTGCTAGAAAAGAATAAACTTAGAAAGCCGGTGGGTAAGTCATGTAATATTAATGACTGATTCTGTCTTGGCTGATACATGCTAGAGTAAATTTGTCTTCTTTTAATACTAGGCTTCTCAGGTGTAATTGAATTTTTAGGGTTTTTTTTTTTTTTTAAAGCAACTTTTTACTGTTCAATTCCACTTGCAAAGCAAGCACTGAGCACCTGGGTGAAACAGAGGTAGCCAGTCTTTAATGATGCCAGCATGGAAAAAGATTCCTTTTCTGTATGTCAGTGGTTGCATTTGTGCCTGTAAATAGGTCAGACAGAGTGATGTGCTGGAGTGGAGCAGAGGCACCGAGGACAGACTGCACTAAAATGATGAGCTGAGGCAGTCAGGCTGTTTCCTGAAGCACTATCACTGGCTGGCATGGAGGGAGCAGGAAGGAAGGGGCTGTGAAAGGAGAAGTGTGGGGCAGGGAGGGATTCGTGGGACTGGGAGCCCCACGGAAATGGGCTGAGGGCTGCCAACGGGACCTCCTGCACCCCTTCTCCACTGGAACAGGTTGCCCAAGGAGGCTGTGGATGCCCCATCCCTGCAGGCATTCAAGGCCAGGCTGGATGTGGCTCTGGGCAGCCTGGTCTGCTGGTTGGCGACCCTACATGTAGCAGGGGGTTGGAACTGGATGAGCACTGTGGGCCTTTTGAACCCAGGCCATTCTAGGATTCCAGGCAGCATAAAGTCACTGTTCCATGGAATAACTGCACGTTAACCTCACTGAGCTGAACCAAGCTGCTCTCCTCAGGTCCCGACGTGCCCCCTAAGCCAGGGCGGTGATGAGCAGCGTTAGAGTGGGTGGAAGTTTTAGCCCCGTGCCAGGCTGCAGAGAGATGGAGCTGGGAGCAGGCAGCAGGATGCCCATGGTGCTGGGAGCAGTTGGCAGAGCTGATGGCACGTGGGTGGAGGCGGATCTGCCCAGCGCTGCCTTCTCTGATGGCCAGAACATAAACTTCTTTAAAATACCTAAAATAGCTGTCAGCCACAAAATGGATGCAGTTTTGGAAGCCGTGACATTAATAGGTAGGAAACTCTGAGTGTGCTTTCATAAACAAATGTGATGACTTATTTGTGCCTCTCAGGAGCACGCAGCATAGCAGCCATGAATTTGTGACTGTCTGAGCTGCCTGGCTTGTCAGTGATGTGATAAAGAGGCTGATAAAATGCTGCTGGAAGTCTGATGAATACAAGGAGGCAGCTTCCTTAGTTTCATGATCCATACGTGATGAAATTTTGATGTTGGGAGCGAGAAGCCTTTTTCTTAGTACGTAAATGCTAGTAATAGAGATGTTACAAATGGAGCTAGGTTTCCTCTAAAACAGCTTAACCAGAGGAAAAAAAAAGTTCATTAAAGGTACATATTTACAGTGGGACTTGCAATTTACTCATTTAATTTCATACCCCGAGGCCACTGCCCACAGTGATTGCCATTGTCAGTAAAGTACTGAATCATTTTTTATTAGTGTGAGTAATCTCTGTTAGCGTGAGTTAACTGGAATGATCCACATGTCAGCACTGGAGGTTGCTGAATCCACGTCTGGATGTGCCAGCATGCCATTCGAAGTGGATGGTTGGCAGAGGGAAGCTCTTGTGTTTCTTTCTAGGACCTGAACCTTTTGGAAAGAGGAGCAGCGTTTGAGGGTCTGCTGCTGAGCATGGCTGGGCATTGCTGATGTTGCAGTTCTGGCTCCAGTCTCCTTGCAGGTAGCACAGAATCACTTGCAGACTGGACACAGCAGAGGATTGGCTGCTTCTCTCCAGAGCGAAACCTTCTCTGACAAGCATGGAATCGGTGATTAATTTAAGCAAACAAAAGCTGTAGTACAGCTGCTTTTTGTGTACACTGTGAGAAAACTTTAAATAACCAACTCGCATACCAGATCCGTGCCGTAGTGCTTTACACATTAAAATAAGCTAAATACTAATAAACTAGAATCAGCATGTGTTGCTTTCGTTTGCATAATAGTGGCTGTAAAAGTGAAGTATTCTTAGCAATCAAAGAAATGACACTGAAGAGCTTAAAATACAGCTTTCAAGAGGGTTTTTTTTCTCACAGTTATTAGGCTGCACTTGAAATAACTGAGGACTTCAGTAACGTGAAGGTGGTACAGCTCTGCCAGCGCGTGCAGTGTGACTGAATCACCTTCTCTAAATGGAATCAGAAAACTTTTTCCTTTTATAGCATGACGACAGCTGGGGCTCCTTATCAGAGCTATGCGTCAGGATCTGGGTAGGTTAAAAGTTGTTTCACTTTCCTGCACCATAAAGAAGCCTCGATGCTGTTCCTCCTTCCTTTAGGAGAAGCCGCATGATTGGAAGGCTTTGGGTGCAGGGCTTCAGTTGGAATTTTGCCACCAACTTAAAGCCTGGAACCTCTGTTAGTCCATCCCCTGTTCCCTTCAGTCTGTGAGTGTGACTGTAGTTGTGCTGGTTGTTGTTGCCTGATGCAGATTCCCACTGCTGCAGGCAAACCCAGGCACCTGTTTCCACAGCATTGAGGGCTCTCCATCCGTCGTTGTCTGTGCAAAAGTGAAGTAAGTAAGTAAGTTTAATCCATTGCAGAAGTATTGGGTGAGGTGTTTGAGCGTGGCCGTGCTAGCCAGAAATAGCAATTAAAGGGAAAAAGGGGCTCATACTTCAAAAAATATATGTTTTTGGTGTCTGTGTGTGAGTGCTGCAATGGAACTTGAATGTGTGCCTGCTCTGAGGCAGGTCTCTGCTTTGGGACAGGTTTTACCAGCAGCCTTTGAGCTTGTCTGAGAATTCCTTCCTTAGTTCCATCCTCCAGATTTTTGGAGAGACTGCATTGAAGAAAGGGGAGGTGTTGGGGTGTTGGAACTGCGCTGGGCAGTTCCACACTGGGGAGGGACGTCAGAGAGGCTCTGGGGATATTCAAGGAGACACAAGGCTGTCCTAAGGGCCAGGTTGGTCAAGGGGCTTCAGTAATTTTGATAAAGAAAAGTCCTAGCAGTGCATGGTGGTGGTTACAGAATATGGGCACACAACAGTAACTTGTTATTCATTGAGCACTTGGAGGTCATAACTGGTAGAGGGAGGGAATCTTTGTGCAAATCTGCACAGAAACCAAAAGCAGTAACGCATGCGTTTGATGTGGAAGGGCTGCCTGTATTTGAGGACACTTTGCTTTTCAAAATCATTGAAAAAAAGAAGTGTGTTGCAGTAGTGCTTTGAGGGGGGCTCTGCTTTGGCTGTGCTGTGCTCCTGAGGGTGGATTTGGGGGATGGGGAGGCAAACTGGTCCAGGCTGAACTGCTGAAGTGGTCGTGGGACAGTCATAGAATCATGACCAGTGAACAATGTCCTGCAGTGCCACACTCGGGTGGGACATCAGAGAGGCTCTGGGGATGTTCAAGGAGACACAAGGCTGTCCTAAGGGCCACTGGATGTCCTCGGACATTGGAACATCTGAGAGGCTCCAGGGGCATTCCATTAGACATGGGAACACAAGGGTGTCCAAAGAGACACAAGAACGTAATGAGCCACAGGCAGGTCTGAGGAGCTCTGGGGGCACCCAAGTGTTTGCATGGACATCTGAGGGCCACCAGGGATGTCCAGAGAGACATGGGACCATCTGAGGGCCTCCCTGTGCCCAGCTAGCTGCTGGAGATGCTCAGAGCACTGCTTCACTCAAGCTTGCATGTAAGCATATCGCATCTATAACAGATCTGGAATGATCACAGTATTGGTGTGCATGAAAAGGTGCCAAAAACCCATTGTTTGCAGGTTATTCTATGTTAGTTAGATAATAATAATAAATTGTTATTCTTGGATGCTCTTTAAATCCTGAAAAACTCCAGTATCTTGATGCTATTTCCCTTTGTTCTCTGCTGATTTGACTGAACTCAGGAAACTGCTCAGATTTGGGGCACTAACGAATGAATCTCTGCCCAACTTGCACGTCAGCAGACCTTTAGGAGTATTGGTGTGGTTGGCTGAGGTTCAAGCAAATCACTGTTCTATGGCTGAGTGCATGAATGTCACAGAAGCATTGTCCAAGTGGCACATTGTGTGACATAGGATGTAACTTCCTGATTTTTCTCCTGTTCCCCAATCAAGAATTTAACCCAGTTGCTATCAGCATAGCAATCATTTCATTAGGCAGTCTTTTCTTAGAGGAACAGGTTGCCCAAGGAGGCTGTGGATGCCCCATCCCTGAAAGCATTCAGGGCCAGGCTGGATTTGGCTCTGGGCAGCCTGGTCTTCTGGTTGGTGACCCTGCACACAGCAGGGGGTTTGAAACTCGATGATCACTGTGATCCTTTTCAACCCAGGCCATTCTATGGTTCTATGATCTTCACATATCTTAGTGTCATTCCTAATGCTGCATTTACTCTCCAGTTCCTCCTGCTTCTCCAGCCCAGAACAGCATTCCAGAAACAGAGCATGAGCAGTGTGTCCCCAGAGGCTGAGCATTCCACCAGCTGGTGACTGAGAGCTGCAATTTGAAGGTAGGCAGTTGGAGGCATTGCCAGGCGGCCTCGTCTGACCCCAGTGCTGCTCACACACTCTCAGAAAGTCTTGAGTCACCTGTCACATCCATAAGTCATCGCCCATATGACTAATGCTATTTTCATTTGAAGGCTTTGGAACATGCAGTCTCAAAGGCAGATTCCCATGTGCCTTTGGAAGGATGAGAAGTAGGAATCAGGCTTACAATAGAAATTGTTTCTTGATGCATTAAATAAGTAGCTCAGCAACCGAAACAACAAGCTTATATGGACGAAACCTTGAACTTGAGTAATTTCTGTTGATGGCATTCAGCTGCCTTAATGCCCTGAAGAATTAAGCCAGGCACTATTTAAACTGTCTTTCCTTTAATCTTTCCATGTCTAGAAGGGAGTTTTAATATGAAGGATTTGCAGCTTTGCCAGCTTACCACCCAGCCTGTGATTTGGATCTTTCCTGACCATACTTTGTGCCATGCTGTGGTGCTGTGCCAGTCCCCAGCGCTCAGTTTGCTCTTGGCAGCACTTTGCATCCCAGGCTTTGCTGATGGCCATTACTGGAAATTGATAGTCCTGCTAAGAAGGTTTGCACATCACACAGCCTCACCGTGCACAGGTGTCCCAGTTAGAATGGCATTCTGACCTAGAGCTTAGCTCTAGGTGTTGGCATAATGGGGATGGGTTGGGGTTGAGCTTGGTGAGAGGTCTTTCCCAGCCTCAGTGATTCTATGCTTTAGTCAAGACGTTTTAAATCCCCATTTACTTTTGAGTATTAGAGCTGCACTGTTTTGTTTATGGTGCTATTCCTTTGACTAGAGATGGATAAATGCTTTTCTTCCTGGGTTTGTTTTCTGTTATTCTAAAGCCAAATGGATTTTTCACTTGACTGGAGAGTGCCAGACCTGAAATACTGCATTCTTTGCCCATGTGTGCAGGTATGTGGTAAATATAGCACCTCTGGGTGAGGCCAGTCAGCTGGGGATGAATAATCATTTCATTCATCTGCCTTCTGTCATAAGTTTATCCCTGGTGGATAACAGGAATTCAAAGGAAGATATCACTGATGAGCTGAAACATTACAGATCCTTTTTGTGAAGCCCCTCGAGTTACTTTACAACAGCTCAGTAGCAGTGCACTGTCATTGAGAGCAGTAGGCAGAAGTGGTGGGTTTGGGAATGTAGTGACAAGCAGGAGGTCTCCTGTGCAGATGTTATTTCCTAATAAGAAGATGCATTAGTTTCTTGTCACTAATTCAGGTAAGTGTTACTTCACATATCGTGATGAGGCTGTAGGGATCTGAGGGCAAGTGTTTGACCTGACCCAGAGGATGGTTGGTTGGGTGTTGTTGCAATTGATTGTGTCCTCTGCCATGAGTGGTCTGCGCCTGATAGGAAGTGCTGGCTCTGGCTGGGTTGCCCTCTTTTTATTTTATTTTATTGTTTGGCCTTTCTCATTCTCTTGCTGGTGGAATCCAGTGGTGTCTGTTATATCAATGTCTAGGACTTCAAGGCTGTGTGTGTTGTCAGGTGTGGCACACTGCATTCTGTGCCAGCCTCAGCCTTACGAGTTCTGTCCTTCTTGAAGGCCACCTGAAAAATGTGCTCTGAGAACAGACTTCCAAACAAGCTTGAGAACCTTTACAAAAATCAAAGAATTTAATTTCCTGCGTCCTGCCCTTTGATGTACAAACATGCCAAATATTACAGAGCACAAGAATAGAGCCTCTTCACCTGAATCACCTGAAGAGAGATGGTTGTATTTATGGGTGGTAGTGTCTCCTTTTGCTGCACTTTCAAATGATCCCTTCATAGTGGATGGACTTTCCTAGATGTCGTGTTTTCATGTGTTAGAACGAGGCACTGGATGTAAACACTTCATTCCAAATGCTGATGTTTGCTTGTCTTTGCAGAATATTGGCAGTGCACAGGATCTGGGGAGACGGGAGCACACAACAATGCTGCTGAAAGGAATCTGAGCCACAGAGCATGCTTTGTGCCACAGTTACCCAGGTATGCTTCAGCAGAGTGTTCTGAGCACCTCTCATGAGCCACATTGGCTGTGCTTGTTGCTCCATTACTTGTCATCATGAGCCAAGGGGGATGGCTCAGCCTTACACCAAAATTATGCTCTGCTTTCATCCTCGCTCTGTCTGGGTGGTGTTTGCAGTTTGAAATCTTTCAGAGCCTTTAACATATACTTCAATTTAATCTAATTGCTGTATTTCAGCTAGTCTTTCTTAAATATTATACCAGTTTATGATGTAAAGAAGGCAGAGCACTTCAGTGTTTATTTCACATGCATTTTTGTTGATGCACCGAGAAGATGTGGTATCAATAAGCCAGGTACTGAACTACATATTGAGAAGTAGGGTTTTGAGATTTGCTCCAGACTGCTGTTAGGAACTGCTGCAGTTAATCTGCTGGGCTTCAGAAGACCAAAGCTGAGCAGAGGCATCCATCATTCCTCTGCACACCAGTGGTGAGGAACCAGTGCAGATTTTTCAGGGTGTTTTTATGGCTTTTTGTAGTGTTTTGCTTTTTGCAGGTTTAATATTGAAAATCTTCATTTAAGTGCAGCCCAGTTCCATGATTCTAATTACATGCTTGTGCTAAAGAAGGTGTTGAAGGAGCGAATACTTGCCTTGCAGGATGGAGTCTGGGAGCTTTCAAAAGCAGATCTGTGATGGAAGTTCTGGCACTCACAGAGTTACAAAAACCAATAGTACTGGCTGTCTTAGAGCACTGAAAACTTAAAATAATATATATTTAACACAAAACAAAACCCCACACTCACATGATTGTGAAGTGTTTCTGTGGAATAGAAGCTAACTGTTCTTTTAGCGCCAGCTGGCAAGTGGGAGTAGAGAAACAAAGCAAACAACCAGCAGAGAAAAGCAGGAGGAACAATAGTGATAGTCTGAAAAGTGACAGATTAGGAGAGCAGCACGAAGAATAAGCGACTTGTGTCACAGGATGTTGTGCGTGGCAACAGGACTTTTGTCTTCAAGTGGACTTTAGTGTAATTGTAGCACTTGCTTCCTGTATGAGATAGAGCTGTACTCTGACTGCATTTTAATCTCTCCATCTAAATTGGCCTCATAATTAAAAAGAATTTGCTGAAGGAAACGATAGTGAAGTCTGTTGCTCCTGAAAGTGCTTCCTCGTGTTTTGCTGTCATAGAAACACGTGTCAAGGAAAGAGATTCGAAGATGAACTTTTTTTACCAGGTGCTGAATGCTGCCTACAAACGACTTTGTCGATGAAGGAAGAAACTGATTGGGAACTGAAGGCGCCAACTAGTTCCTAATCCTGTTCAACATGCGCAAAGGGGTGCCAAAGGACCCAGAAATAGCTGAGCTGTTCTACAAAGATGATCCTGAGGAAATATTTGTGGGTTTGCATGAAATCGGACATGGAAGTTTTGGAGCGGTGTACTTTGTAAGTATGATTCTTTACTCCTTTCTTGGAAGGTAAAACCATGCTAAGGTTTTCAAGGAACACCCTTGCAGCTCTTAGTGCTTTGTGTGTATGAGCTTGTTCATTACACAGCTTGAGAGTAAGTGTCTCCAGAGCACTCCTGAGCTCTTTGCTATTGCAGCTGTACTTACAGTGGCAGCTAACTATAGGCATAACACATCCAACCATACGGGTTGGGTATATGCTGTCTGGTGCTGTCAGATGCTGAAAGCTGAATCAAGGCAGTTGGAAATAAATTGGTCAAACTGGAATTTCAAGACACACTGCTTGGTGCTCGTATGCTTGTAAATCATTGCAAATAAATGTATCTGGTGAATGAATGATTCCAAATGCTTTTGGAGTTAAAAGCTACTTCTGTTAATGAATCCGTTCTGCTGCTGTTTGAGTAAAGATTCTGTGGAAGTAGCATCAAATTACTTTCAGGCTTCCTGAGTGATTTCTCTGCTATTCTGATAATTTAGGATTGAAGATATCTTTGGAATGCTGTCTTGCTTTGTCATCCTCATTTTCTTTATGTTTATTGCATTCCATGCTATCTTCAATAGCAGATGCTTTCAATGGCAAAAGCAAAGGGAAAGTCTTATGAGAAGTGGGAATTCAAGAGGGAAACAGGTACTCTTTTGACTGATAGTCAAGAGAATTTAATCTGGAAGGTGAGAAGAATAGTGCTTTTACAATTGGAGAGAAAGCAAGCCAAATCCAAGATACTGGACTTGGAAGTAATTATAATCCAGCCCTTATCAGTGAAAATTAAATAGAATTCAGCATCAAAAAATAGGTCAAACACAAATTATGGTTGCTGAGTAGCATGTCCTGACACTCCAGAAGATCAAGTGCACCACAGCTGAAAGTTTAGAATATCAGACATTAATGCAATTAATTAGATAAGTGCCTGCAGGATTGGAAGCTGTCACACTGTTCACTGGTTGTAGTTCTGTGCAGCAGTGGCAGTGCTGGTGGGACCTCGGGCTTTCTGCTATGGGGATCTTCAGCAGAAGGACAGGCACTTGTAGTTGTTGGGTGAGGTGACAGATAGGTGGAAGTGTAATATTAAGTGCACTGCATGCTCAGAGGGTGAGGTTGTGAAATGCACAAGGTGTCGATCCGCTCTGCAAGAGGAGGAAGTGCTTTTCAGACAGGGGTGAGGAGATCCTACCACTGCATTTCCCGGGTGAGGAGAAGGACGTGTGATGTGCTTTATGGCAGCGGTGAAGCAGTGAAGTTGCTTTCTTTGTCCTTCAGCTCCTCGTGCTTCCAGGGAAAGAGAGTGAGGAGTAGCAGAGATCTAATCTACCAAGCTGGCTTACAAGAGAAATCTTGCCATGGTTAGGTTGGAGACCTCTGTGGTTCCCCAGAACTTCTCTTCCTCCATCTCCTATATACTTTATCAGCTCTGTTTGGAGAGTTGAGCTTGGTTCCTCTCTGGCTGATCTTTATGTAATATTTCTGAATACTGTGGGGCCTTTATGCGGCCCAGTGCTGCTTCTCTGGCAGAGCTAAATACCGTGGGCAAGTCGGGCTATGAAGCATTTGACACCGACTTTTCAAGCCTACTTGAGTTCTGTGAGTTTGTATTTGAACAAGGTAATAAGGAGCCTTTTTTCCTACCAAGAAACTGGGAGAAGAGGAATATTCCTGCCAGGCCTAATAAAAAAAAGAAAGAAAGCACTGATGTTCAAATGTGTTGTGTCTCAGGCTCAAATTTTGCCATTCAGAAAATGGCAAGTAGTCACATAAAGCTGGTAAAGGACTTAGGGGCTGTAACTTTGGTGACACTGGCAAGTGATTTTGGTTCTCCAGTGTGTTATTGCCAAAGCCTGGTGAGTTAACTTGGTATTGCTTTTGTTGCTGGAAAGAAAGGCTTCTTACAGCAGCACCTCCATCCACAACTGGGGGAACAGCTAAATGGGGCAGTTATACCCTTGAGCAAGAAATGGTGGCTGACATGAGAGATCATATGCTCACCTGAAGAGATCTGGAGTTAGTGGCAGACGGGAATATTTGGAAGTTTGCTTAGAACACCAGCATGAGCTCATCTGTGTGAGTGAAACACTTGTGCTGGATGAGGACAGCGAGTGGTTCTTGAAACTTCTTAGCCAGAAGTTGCTTGCTTCCAGCTTTTTCTGACTCGTCTGATGAGCAGTGTGTGCTGGAGCAGAGCAGTGTAAGTGTGTCAGCTCCCTTCAGTCATTGCTGTGCTCTCGTGGTTCACCCAGAGCCATTTGTCTTTGAAGTCCCTGTATGCATCGTGAAATGGCTTTGATTAATGCATTGCTTGAGAGCACAGTACTCATCCTCGTGAGCACTGAAATGAGGGGTTACCACGTTTAGCTTTATTTTAAGCTTTTAACTGACGCCAATTTTTTGTCCTCAAAAGTGAGTGAGTGGTGAGAGTACTGGGATTTCAATACTCTTAACTCTTAAAGCATTCCTTTAAGACTTAAAATGTTTGGTCCTTAACGTGCAGAACTGAAGGCAGTGCCAGGCAAGCAGAGCTCTTTCTAAAACTGAGTTCTCAGCCTCTGGTCAGCATGCCTGTGTCATACAGCTACAGACAAGTGTGATTCTTCTGCCTGAATGATATTTATTGTACACTGGGACCTGGTGGCTGTGGTATTAAAATACTGAACATATATCTAATCTGTAACACAGAATCTGTCAGTGTTCCGTACCTTCCTTTGACATTTCTTCCTTAATTAATTTAATTAAAACAGCCAGATGCCAGGCATCCAATTCTGCTGAGTGTTCTCCTGAGCCTTCCCAGTGCCGCCCTGATATGAGGTGGCAATGACAAAGATGACCTGCAGTTCAGAGGCACTGCTGACACTCATCTCCTGCCTGACTTACTGTTGGCAAGGATCAGCTTAGCTTGGAGGTGTAAGTTATCCAGTGAAGATGGAAAGAAGAACTGGAGTCCTGCTGAGGCTATGAAAACTTGTATGAGATGTCGCTACCAGTGGGATCACTTGCCCTGGAAGAGAGCTTGGGATAGCATGGATTTCCATGCAGGAATCAAATGAGCACAATGCTAGCACGTATAGCAGCTCTGCTTTTTTTTTGTTTGCTTTGGGCTGAAAGCAAATCCTACAGCCTGTTTGAGCAGAGTTGTGCATCAGCTCTCCGACACACTTGTTTGAAGATGTGTATTTTTGGATTAAAATCCATCATGTTTGGATCTGGCAATTTTTCTTGCAAATGTAGATGCCCTGAGTTTTTTCTGGCTTGCTTTTAAAATTGATTTCACAATGGTTGTTTGGATAAGGTTTGCATTGATATGAATAGCATGGCTCTGTAATTTGACATCTGCTCAACCACCAACAGCAAAGAGCACAACTGTGTGAGGATTGCCTGCATTAGGTGACCCAATTTCATAAGTGACGTGAATTACACATTTTGTTGCTGTAAATCCATTCCTGAAATCTTTATTTTGTGGTAACAGCCCAACAACACCAAAATAATTTGCTTTATAACAACCGTGGCAGTAAGAGGAGCTCTGCTCCCCAACCTGGGTTGTCTTCAACTGTTGGAATATCCAAAGCCACCTTGCTTGGATGGTGCAGAAGTGCATAAATCGATTGTTCGAAGAGCAGAGGTTTGGAAAAAGCCAAATATTGGATGAAACTGGACAAAAGTGACTTTGGACTCATTGATCGTTTCTGCCTGGTTTTTGGAACCAAAACAAGATGCTCTGTTTTTTTGCTCTAGACCAGAGAGTCAAAGTCATGTAGGCTTTGTCCAAAGATGATGCAGTTAAAATCGTTGCACGGCCTTTGCCTTAACATTGGAAATAATTAGTCCAAGAGGAGTGAACGGGAGAAGCTGCTAAGCAGAGGAGCAAATTAAGTAAAGCACGGGAGTTTTGCTTTTGCTTTTTTGGCAACGAGTTTGAGGGGAAAGGAGGAATGTTCAGTGAAGGAGTGATCTGTCATTCTGCAGCCCTTACACATATGGGTGGTTAGCTGCTGCTTTTAAGTAGCTTGGGGCATAAGCCTGCTGCAGTGCTTGAAAATTAGATTTCTGGTATTACAGGTATGGCAAAACATCCAAAATAATGGATGTCACTTAATTCAGCCTTTACTGCTTCAGGGACGTGTCCCAAATGACGCGGTGGTTCTTCTTTCAGCAGTATGCATTTACCAAGTTGTTGGGGTTTTTCCCCACTTTATCCTGCACACCAAATCCAGAGAAGTGGAAACAGTTTGCAGTGAAAGGAAGGTTGCTTTCTTTTAATTGAGCTAAATTCCAGTTTGAAGCAAACTGGAAGCTGAAATACCTGTTTGGCAACATCACTGTTTGCATGGTTGGCTTTGGGTGACGTTTTGTTGTGCCTTTTCATTTGTTTCTTTAGGAGATCTTTTAACCTAAAGCTGTTTTTACAGCAGTTTCTATCAGACTGTGTTTTGCACGCTCACAGTATGCGTGATACTGGACCTTGTTTTGTGTGTTACTAAAGAGGTAGCACGTGTAGTAAGGGCTGAGGGAGGGACAGTGATTACAGAAAGATAAATAACGCCAGAAAAGAGCGATAAAACAGCTGTGTCATAAATCTTGTCGTGATGCAGGTGTCTCTGAAATGTGGGAGCTTGCCAGGATGTGATACAGGGGAAGAAGGTCTGTGTTTATAAAGGCACAGCTCACTCCACAAGGAGGAAAAAAAATGATATATTTTTTTTCCCACTTAATTTCTTTTTCCTCCTGCAGGCTACAAATTCCCACACTAATGAGGTGGTGGCAGTCAAGAAGATGTCCTACAGCGGCAAGCAAACCAATGAGGTGAGGTGGTGCAGCCAGTTCTGATACAGCTGTGCTGTAAAGCTGGTCAGTGAATTCAGCAGAGCAGCCTTGTGATGCTGTAGCTGTTGTTCACTTCCATAGGAAGCACAGAGGTTTGTAGAGGGAAAATGAATTTATGCAAATCTTGACAAATAGTTCAGTTTAAGAAAGCAAACAGGAATTAGAATGCTTGTAGGGTGGTTATTTCTGTAATAAGTGCATTAATAACCCCTGTGCTGCAGGAGCCATAACCACAACTCACTGAGGTATCAAGTGAAGTGTAGAGCTGACCTGAAACACTGCTATGGATTTATAATATAAAATTTCATAGGCATAGTATTTGGAATATCAGCCTTCCTTCAATTATTGCTTGTTAATCCCTACTCTTATTTGCTGTTATTAGCAAACAGCCAACTGCTCCTGCCTGCAGCACGTGCTGTAGCTGCTTGCTTTGGGGCATGTGAGCAGCTCATGGTGCTGAACAGTTGCAATGCTTTGAGTAAAATGTACTGCAAATAAATGAGGGGAAAAAAACCTTTTTTTGTTCTCCAGCTTAACCTGTCCTAGGGCAGTCAAACTGCAGCAGGGATGCAAAGCTTCAATACATTTATGCTTTTGCAACTACAACTCTGGTCATCTTGCACCATAAAATTGCCTCCTGGCTGCTTTTCAGCCTGTTCTGCTGTGCGTAGTACATGAGAGCATGTAGGGGATTAAGTGGGGAAATGTACCCATATCTTTTTGTTTTGTTTTTATTAGAAATGGCAGGATATCATCAAAGAAGTCAAGTTTCTGCAACAACTGAAGCACCCAAACACCATAGAATATAAGGGCTGTTACCTGAAGGAGCATACAGCATGGGTGAGTGGGCTGGCATTTAGGGGCTTGGTGTACAGAAGAATGTGTGGCAACCAGGCACACAATACATGCAGTGTCTTTGCATGCAGCAGTATTCATCCATTGCTGCCCGTTGTCTCTTTCATCTCAAGAAGCTTCCAGATATTTTGAAAGTAATGGGTATTTAGGATGCTAGAAAAGATCCCTGTTTCTCTGTAGCAGATCTCTGCAGGTTAAAAAATTAGTATGGAACATCCTGTATGGTGCCTCCTTATGAACCTCCCAATGTCTATACCTTCTTTGCAACAATGTAGGATGTCTATCATTGCTGGACTTTGATTGGAGCATTTTGTTTTGTTCAATGCTTACTGCAATTTCCTAAAACTTCACTTTTCACTTGCTTCTGCAATTCTGCAGCCATCCAAATAGCAGCAGTTTGTGGAGGAGTGTCCATCCTATTACTTAAACATGTGCTTTTTGTTTTTCTTGCAGTTGGTTATGGAGTACTGTTTAGGATCAGCTTCTGATTTGCTAGAAGGTGAGTTGTATGAAGTCTTCACGTTTGTTTCTTCAAATGCCCCCTCTGAGCACAGTGGGAGGCTGTTTGCACAGAACGGTGTTTTACAGATGGTGGAGGCAGTCTGTCTGTACTGCTCCATTCTATAACCAGAATGCTTGTGTTTGTCATACTATGGGTGAGCTGAGATTCTCCCAGAAGGCCAGTGCCATGTATAGTTGGCATGCACGTTCACAAGTTGTAAAATGAAGATATAAAAGTTTATTAAAAGTTTACAGCTGGATTGCTGTAATTTGCACTTTCTCAATGACCTGAATGCCCATAATAAAAGCCCCGCCTTTTGGTCTGTAGGAATGACTACAGGTGACTATAAATCAAAAGATGGGTATGACATCAAAGCTGAGGCCACAGCACCTGCAGAGGGATGGGAGTCTAAGCTGCAGCTTGTTAAAACTTACGCTTTCCAAGCCTTCTATTTTGTATCTAAGATACAGTCAGTCAAAGGCATATGCTGGTCTGATTTAGGGATCTGTGGAAGATGCTTTGGGGCGTCTCTGTAGTATTTGTCAATTCTGTGTTTTTGCTAAGAAGGATGGGGTTGGAAGGGGAAGTTTTCTTTGCTAAGGACTGAAGCTGGGTTTCAAATACAATGGCAAGCTGTAGTCAGACACATCACCTGGTGCTGGCAGCAACCATTCCCCTTAGCAGGGCTGTGGTTTCACAAATGAAATACACACAAAGGATGTGTGCAGACTCAAAGCTGCTATAGAAGATAAGTGTGATGAAGGTGGTGCCAACCTCATAGCTTGCAAAATGGGAGGAGTTCTCTTTAGAAACATTCTCAGGAAAAGATCACACTGTACATTCTTACGTTTTCTCCTACAATTTTTCCATAGTTCACAAGAAACCACTTCAGGAAGTGGAGATTGCTGCCATCACCCACGGTGCCTTGCAGGGGCTGGCCTACCTGCACTCTCACTGTAAGATACACAGGTAAGGATGCTGCTGGATGTCCTTCGAGTTACATTGGCTGAGTCTGAAAATCACTTTGCTCTGTCTAAGCAGCTTTGTTAAGGTTCCCCTGCTAGAATTTCCTCCAGTGGGCTTGTCAATGCACTCAGTACAAGGGTAGATTTACAAATAAAAGTTATTAGATGTAAGGAATACGTTCCTTCTGAAATAATTCCATGTGGTTACAGGCCAGTGCTAATTCTCTTTCATGTTAGCAATTTTCTCTGCAGACCTTGGTAACAAAGAGTACACCACAGTGTTGGCAATAAGCGTGGACAGGAAAAAACACAGTGTGAATTCATCAACTATAGTGGTGTGGTAGAGCTAGACTACTTTTAAGACTTGACATATTAAGAATTTTTTACCTGTGAGTAAGTTAAACATTATGCTTCAGGAAATCAGCTGCTGAAAGCATAAGACAAGGCTAAAACTGCCTTAGGAGAAATAAGAGCACACACAGGAGGATTCAGAACTGATCACGTCTGTGGACAACTGATCACAGACTCCTAGATCTATCTTTCCAGGAGTTTTGACTATTCTACAACCATCTGTCAATGCTGCTGCATGATCCCATTTCATGTTTTTGTGTTACTGTGAGTACTACGGGTGCTCTGTATCAAGGAGTTGCTGTAGAAGTGATAAAAGCTAGAATTTTAGAATTCTAGAATTCTAGAATGGGTTGGGTTAGAAGGGTCCCTAAAGGTCATGAAACCAGAGCATTCTAGAATGGGTTGGGTTGGAAGGGTCCTTAGAGGTCATGGAACCAGAGCATTCTAAATGGGTTGGGTTGGAAGGGTCCTTGAAGGTCATGGAACCAGAGAATTCTAAATGGGTTGGGTTGGAAGAGTCCTTAAACGTCATGGAAGCAGAGAATTCTAAATGGGTTGGGTTGGAAGAGTCCTTAAAGGTCATGGATCCAGAGAATTCTAAATGGTTTGGGTTGGAAGGGTCCTTAAAGGTCATGGAACCGGAGAATTCTAAATGGGTGTGGTTGCAAGGCTTCTTAAAGGTCATGGAACCAGAGAATTCTAAATGGGTTGGGTTGGAAGGGTCCTTAAATGTCATGGAACCAGAGCATTCTAAATGGGTTGGGTTGGAAGGGTCCTTAAAGGTCATGGAACCAGAGAATTCTAAATGAGTTGGGTTGGAAGGGTCCTTAAAGGTCATGGAACCGGAGTATTCTAAAATGGGTTGGGTTGGAATGGTCCTTAAAGGTCATGGAACCAGAGAATTCTAAATGGGTTGTGTTGGAAGGGAACTTGAAAGTCATGGTACCAGAGAATTCTAAATGGGTTGGGTTGCAAAGGTCCTTAAAGGTCATGGAACCAGAGCATTCTAAATGGGTTGGTTTGGAAGGGTCCTTAAAGGTCATGGAACCAGAGAATTCTAAATGGGTATGTTTTTAAGGGTTCTTAAAGGTCATGGAAGCATAGAATTCTAGAATTGGTTTTGTTGGAAGGGTCCTTAAAGGTCATGGAACCAGAGAATTCTAAATGGGTGTGGTTGGAAGGGTCCTTAAAGGTCATGGAACCAGAGCATTCTAAATGGGTTGTGTTGGAAGGGTCCTTAAAGGTCATGGAAGCACAGAATTCTAAATGGGTTGCGTTGGAAGGGTTCTTAAAGGTCATGGAACCAGAGCATTCTAAATGGGTTGGGTTGGAAGGGTCCTTAAAGGTCATGGAACCAGAGAATCCTTAATGGCTTGGGATGGAAGTGTCCTTAAAGGTCATGCAACCAGAGATTTCTAAATGGGTTGTGCTGGAAGGGTTCTTAAAGGTCATGGAAGCAGAGAATTCTGGAATGGGTTGGGATGGAAGGGTCCTTAAGTTCATGGAATCAGAGATTTCTAGAATGGGTGTGATTGGTAGGGTTCTTAAAGGTCATGGAAGCAGGGCAATTCTAAATGGGTTGGGTTGGAAGGTTCCTTAAAGGTCATGAAACCAGAGCATTCTAGAATGAGTTTGGTTGGAAGGGTCCTTAAAGGTCATGGAAGCAGAGAATTCTAGAATGAGTTGGGTTGGAAGGGTTCTTAAAGGTCATGGAACCAGAGCATTGTAGAATGGGTTGGGCTAGATGTGTCCTTGATTGTACTGGAACCAGAGAATTCTAAATGGATTGGGTTGGAAGGGTCCTTAAAGGTCATGGAACCAGAGAATTCTAAATGGGCTGGGTTGGAAGGGTCCTTAAATGTCATGGAACCAGAGCATTCTAAATGGGTTGGGTTGGAAGGGTCCTTAAAGGTCATGGAACCAGAGAATTCTAAATGGGTTTTGTTGGAAGGGAACTTGAAAGTCATGGTACCAGAGAATTCTAAATGGGTTGGGTTGCAAGGGTCCTTAAAGGTCATGGAACCAGAGAATTCTTAACGGGTGTGGTTGGAAGGGTCCTAAAAGGTCATGGTACCAGAGAATTCTAAATGGGTTGGGGTAGATGTTTACCTTGTTGGTAATGGAACCAGAGAATTCTAAATGGATTGGGTTTGAAAGGTCCTCAAAGGTCATGGAACCAGAGAATTCTAAATCTCAATATATACGTTTGGTGGCCTTGCTAGGCAGGGGGGTTGGAACTACATGATCCTTAAGGTCCCTTCCAACCCGGGTGATTCTGTGATTTTGTGATTCTGTGGAAGGATTCTTAAAGGTCATGGAACCATGAATTATAAATGGGTTTGGTTGGAAGGGTCCTTAAAGGTCATGGAACCAGAGAATTCTAAATGTGTTGGGTTGGAAGGGTTCTTAAAGGTTATGGAAGCAGAGAATTCTTAATGGGTTGGGTTGGAAGCGTCCTTGAAGGTCATGGAACCAGAGAATTCTTAATGGCTTGATTTGGAAGGATCCTTAAAGGTCATAGAAGCAGAGAATTCTAAATGGGTGTGGTTGGAAGGGTCCTTAAAGGTCATGGAACCAGCGAATTCTAAATGGGTTGGGCTGGATGTGTCCTTGGAGGTCATGGAACCAGAGAATTCTAAATGGGTTGTGTTGGAAGGGTCCTTAAAGGTCAAGGAACCAGAGAATTCTAAATGGGATTGGTTGGAAGGGAACTTGAAGGTCATGGTACCAGAGAATTCTAGAATGGCTTGGGTTGGAAGGGTCCTCGAAGTCATGGAACCAGAGAATTCTAAATGGGTTGGGTTGGAAGGGTCCTTAAAGGTCATGGAACCAGAGCATTCTAGAATGGGTGTTATTAGAAGGGTCCTTGAAGGTCATGGTACCAGAGAATTCTAAATGGGTTGGGTTGGAAGGGTCCTTAAAGGTCATGGATCCGGAGAATTCTAGAATGGGTGTGCTGTCAAGGCTTCTTAAAGGTCATGGAACCAGAGAATTCTAAATGGGTTGGGTTGGAAGGGTCCTTGAAGGTCATGGAACCAGAGAATTCTAAATGGCTTGGGTTGGAAGGGTCCTCAAAGTCATGGAACCAGAGAATTCTAAATGCGTTTGGTTGGAAGGGTTCTTAAAGGTCATGGAAGCAGAGAATTCTAAATGGGTTGTGTTGGAAGGGTCCTTGAATGTCATGTAACCAGAGCGTTCTAGAAGGGGTGGGGCTAGATGTGTCCTTGATGGTAATGGAATCAGAGAATTCTAAATGGATTGGGTTGGAAAGGTCCTCAAAGGTCATGGAACCAGAGAATTCTAAAAGGGTTGGTTCGGAAGGGTCCTTAAAGGTCATGGAACCAGAGAATTCTAAATGGGTTCGGTTGGAGGAGGCCTTAAAGGTCATGGAACCAGAGAATTCTAAATGGGTTGCGTTGGAAGAGTCCTCAGAAGTCACGGAACCAGAGAATTCTAAATGAGTTTGGTTGGAACGGTCCTTAAAGGTCATGGAACCTGAGAATTCTCAATGGGTGTTGTTGGAAGGGTCCTTAAGGGTCATGGAAACAGAGAATTCTAAATGGGTTGGGTTGGAAGGGTCCTTAAAGGTCTTGGAACCAGAGAATTTTAAATGGGATGGGTTGGAAGGGTCCTTAAAGGTCATGGAACAAGAGAATTCTAAATGGTTTTTTTTGGAGGGGTCCTTAAAGGGCATGGAACCAGAGCATTCTAAATGGATTGGGTTGGAAGGGTCCTTTAAGGTCATGGAACCAGAGAATTCTAGAATGGCTTGTGTTGAAGGGTCCTTTAAGGTCTTGGAACCAGAGAATTCTTAATGGGTTGGTTTGGAAGAATCCTTGGAGGTCATGGAACCAGAGAATTCTAAATGTATTGGGTTGGAAAGGTCCTCAAAGGTCATGGGACCAGAGAATTCTAAATCTGAATATGTACGTTTGGTGGCCCTGCTAGGCAGGGCGGTTGGACTTCATGATCCTTGAGGTCCCTTGCAACCCAGGTGATTCTGTGATTCTGTGATTCTGTGATTCTGTGGAAGGATTCTTAAAGATCATGGAAGCAGAGAATTATAAATGGGTTGTGTTGTAAGGGTCCTTAAAGGTCATGGAACCAGAGAATTCTAAATGAGTTGGGTTGGAAGGGTTCTTAAAGGTCATGGAACCAGAGAATTCTTAATGGGTTGGTTTGGAAGGGTCCTTAAAGGTCATGGAAGCAGAGAATTCTAAATGGGTTGGGTTGGAAGGGTCCTTAAAGGTCATGGAGCCAGAGAATTCTAAATCGGTTGGGTTGGAAGGGTCCTTAAAGGTCATGGAACCAGAGCATTCTAAATGGGTTGTGTTGGAAGGGTCCTTGAAGGTCATGGATCCTGAGAATTCTAAATGGATTCGGTTGGAAGGGTCCTCAAAGGGCATGGAACCAGAGCATTCTAAATGGGTTGGGTTGGAAGGGTCCTTAAAGATCATGGAAGCAGAGAATTCCAAATGGGCTGGGTTGGATGGGTCCTCAAAGGGCATGGAACCAGAGAATTCTAAATGGGTTGGGTTGTATGTGTCCTTGATGGTCATGGAACCAGAGAATTCTAAGTGTGTTGGGTTGGAAGACTCCTCATAAGTCATAGAGCCGGAGTATTCTAAATGGGTTTGTTTGGAAGGGTCCTTAAAGGTCACTGAACCAGAGAATTCTAGAATGGGTTGGGTTGGATGTGTCCTTGGAGGTCATGGAACCAGGGAATTCTAGATGGGTTTTGTTGGTAGGATCCTTAAAGGTCTTGGATCCAGAGAATTCTAAATGGGTTGGGTTGGAAGGGTCCTTAAAGGTCATGGAACCAGAGCATTCTAAATGGGTTGTGTTGGAAGGGTCCTTAAAGGTCATGGAACCAGAGCATTCTAAATGGGTTGGGTTAGTAGGGTCCTTAATAGTCATGGAACCAGAGCATTCTAGAATGGCTTGTGTTGGAAGGGTCCTTGAAGGTCATGGAACCAGAGAATTCTAAATGGCTTGGGTTGGAAGGGTCCTTAAAGGTCATGGAACCAGGGAATTCTAAATGGGTTGTGTTGGAAGGGTCCTTGAATGTCTTGGAACCAGAGCATTCTAGAATGGGTTAGGCTAGATGTGTCCTTGATGGTAATGGAACCAGATAATTCTAAATGGCTTGGGTTGGAAGGGTCCTTAAAGGTCATGGAACCAGAGAATTCTAAATGGGTTGGTTTGGAAGGGTTCTTAAAGGTTATGGAAGCAGAGAATTCATAATGGGTTGGTTTCGAAGTGTCCTTGGAGGTCATGGAACCAGAGAATTCATAATGGGTTGGTTTCGAAGTGTCCTTGGAGGTCATGGAACCAGAGAATTCTAAATGGGTTGGGTTGGAAGGGTCCTTAAAGGTCATGGAACCAGAGAATTCTAAATGGGTTGTGTTGTAAGGGTCCTTAAAGGTCATGGAACCAGAGCATTCTAATTGGGTTGGGTTGGAAGGGTCCTTAAAGGGCATGGAATCAGAGCATTCTAAATGGGTTGTGTTGGAATGCTCCTCAAAGGTCATGGAACCAGAGCATTCTAAATGGGTTGGGTTGGAAGGGTTCTTAAAGGTCATGGAAGCAGAGAATTCTAAATGGGTTGGGTTGGAAGGGTCCTTAAAGGACATGGAACCAGAGAATTCTAGAATGGGAGTTGTTGAAAGGGTCCTTAAATGTCATGGATCCAGAGAATTCTATATGAGTTCGGTTGGAAGTGTCCTTGGAGGTCATGGAACCAGAGAATTCTAAATAGGTTGGGTTGGAAGGGTCCTTAAAGGTCATGGAACCAGAGAATTCTAAATGGGTTGGGTTGGAAGGGTTCTTAAAGGTCATGGAAGCAGAGAATTCTAAATGGGTTGGGTTGTAAGGGTCCTTAAAGGTCATGGAACCAGAGCATTTTAAATGGGTTGGGTTGGAAGGGGTCCTTAAAGGTCATGGAATAAGTGAATTGTAAATGGGTTGGGTTGGAAGGGTCCTTAAGTTCATGGAACCAGTGCCTTCTAGAATGGGTGTTGTTGGAAGGGTCCTTAAAGGTCATGGAACCGGAGAATTCTAAATGGATTGAGTTGGAAATGTCCTGAAAGGTCATGGAACCAGAGAATTCTAAATCTGAATATGTACGTTTGGTGGCCCTGCTAGGCAGGGGGGTTGGAACTACATGATCCTTGAGATCCCTTCCAACCCGGTTGATTCTGTGATTCTGTGATTCTGTGGAAGGAATCTTAAAGATCATGGAACCATGAATTATAAATGAGTTGGGTTGGAAGGGTCTTTGAAGGTCATGGAACCAGAGAATTCTAGAATGGCTTGGGTTGGAAGGGTCCTTAAAGGTCATGGAATAAGAGAATTGTAAATGGGTTGGGTTGGAAGGGTCCTTAAGTTCATGGAACCAGAGAATTCTAAATGTGTTGGTTTGGAAGGGTCCTTGAAGGTCATGGAAGCAGAGAATTCTTAATGGGTTGGGTTGGATGTGTCCTTCGAGGTCATGGAACCTGGGAATTCTAGATGGGTTTTGTTGGAAGGAACTTTAATGGTCATGGAACCAGAGAATTCTAGAATGGGTTGGGTTGGAAGGTTCCTTAAAGGTCATTTAACCAGATCATTCTAAATGGGTTGGGTTGGAAGGGTCCTTAAAGGTCATGGAACCAGGGAATTCTAAATGGGTTGTGTTGGAAGGGTCCTTAAAGGTCATGGAACAAGAGAATTCTAAATGGGTTGGGTTGGAATGGTCCTTAAAGGTCATGGAACCAGAGAATTCTAAATGCGTTGGGTTGGAATGGTTCTTAAAGGTCATGGAAGCAGAGAATTCTAAATGGGTTGTGTTGGAAGGGTCCTTGAAGGTCATGGATCCAGAGAATTCTAAATGGGTTGGGTTGGATGGGTCCTCAAAGGGCATGGAACCAGAGAATTCTAAATGGGTTGGGTTGGAATGGTCCTTAAAGGTCATGGAACCAGAGAATTCTAAAAGGGTTGGGTTGGAAGGGTTCTTAAAGGTCATGGAAGCAGAGAATTCCAAATGGGTTGGGTTGGAATGGTCCTTCAAGTTCATGGAACCAGACAATTCTAAATGGGTTGGGTTGTATGTGTCCTTGATGGTCATGGAACCAGAGAATTCTAAGTGTGTTGGGTTGGAAGACTCCTCATAAGTCATAGAGCCGGAGTATTCTAAATGGGTTGGGTTGGAAGGGTCCTTAAATGTCACTGAACCAGAGAATTCTAGAATGGGTTGGGTTGGATGTGTCCTTGGAGGTCATGGAACCTGGGAATTCTAGATGGGTTTTGTTGATAGGATCCTTAAAGGTCTTGGATCCAGAGAATTCTAAATGGGTTGGGTTGGAAGGGTCCTTAAAGGTCATGGAACCACAGCATTCTAAATGGGTTGTGTTGGAAGGGTCCTTAAAGGTCATGGAACCACAGCATTCTAAATGGGTTGGCTTGGAAGGGTCCTTAAAGGTCATGGAACCAGAGCCTTCTAGAATGGGTGTTGTTGGAAGGGTCCTTAAATGTCATGGAACCAGAGAATTCTAAATGGGTTGGGTTGGAAGGGTCCTTAAAGGTCATGGAACCAGAGCATTCTAAATGGGTTGTGTTGGAAGGGTCCTTAAAGGTCATGGAACCAGAGCATTCTAAATGGGTTGTGTTGGAAGGGTCCTTAAAGGTCATGGAACCAGAGCCTTCTAGAATGGGTGTTGTTGGAAGGGTCCTTAAAGGTCATGGAACCAGAGAATTCTAAATGGGTTGGGTTCGAAGGGTCCTTAAAGGTCATGGAACCAGGGAATTCTAAATGGGTTGTGTTGGAAGGGTCCTTGAATGTCTTGGAACCAGAGAATTCTAGAATGGGTTAGGCTAGATGTGTCCTTGATGGTAATGGAACCAGAGAATTCTAAATGGCTTGGGTTGGAAGGGTCCTTAAAGGTCATGGAACCAGAGAATTCTAAATCTGAATATGTACGTTTGGTGGCCCTGCTAGGCAGGGGGGTTGGAACTACATTATCCTTGAGGTCCCTTACAACCCGTGTGATTCTGTGATTTTGTGATTCTGTGGAAGGGTCCTTAAAGGTCATGGAACCCGAGAATTCTTAACGGGTTGGTTTAGAAGGTTCTTAAAGGTCATGGAAGCAGAGAATTCTAAATGTGTTGGTTTGGAAGGGTCCTTGAAGGTCATGGAAGCAGAGAATTCTTAATTGGTTGGGTTGGATCTGTCCTTGGAGGTCATGGAACCTGGGAATTCTAGATGGGTTTTTTTGGAAGGATCTTTAATGGTCATGGAACCAGAGAATTCTAGAAGGGGTTGCGTTGAGGGGTCCTTAAAGGTCATGGAACCAGAGTATTCTAAATGCGTTGGGTTGGAAGGGTCCTTGAAGGTCATGGAATCAGAAAATTCTAAATGGGTTGTGTTGGAAGGGTCCTTGGAGGTCATGGAACCAGGGCATTCTTAATGGGTTTGTTTGGAAGGGTCCTTAAAGATCATGGAACCAGAGAATTCTAAATGGGTTGGGTTGGAAGGGTCCTTAAATGTCATGGAACCAGAGAATTCTAAATGGGTTGGGTTGGAAGGGTCCTTAAAGGTCATGGAACCAGGGAATTCTAAATGGGTTGGGTTGGAGTGGTCCTTAAAGGTCATGGAACCAGAGAATTCTAAATGGGTTGGGTTGGAAGGGTCCTTAAAGGTCATGGAACCCGAGAATTCTAAATGGGTTGTGTTGGAAGGGTCCTTGAAGGTCATGGATCCAGAGAATTCTAAATGGATTCGGTTGGAAGGGTCCTCAAAGGGCATGGAACCAGAGCATTCTAAATGGGTTGGGTTGGAAGGGTCCTTAAAGGTCATGGAACCAGGGAATTCTAAATGGGTTGGGTTGGAGTGGTCCTTAAAGGTCATGGAACCAGAGAATTCTAAATGGGTTGGGTTGGAAGGGTCCTTGAAGGTCATGGAACCAGAGAATTCTAAATGGGTTGGGTTGGAAGGGTCCTTAAATGTCATGGAACCAGAGAATTCTAAATGGGTTGGGTTGGAAGGGTCCTTAAAGGTCATGGAACCAGGGAATTCTAAATGGGTTGGGTTGGAGTGGTCCTTAAAGGTCATGGAACCAGAGAATTCTAAATGGGTTGGGTTGGAAGGGTCCTTAAAGGTCATGGAACCAGGGAATTCTAAATGGGTTGTGTTGGAAGGGTCCTTCAAGGTCTTGGTACCAGAGAATTCTAGAATGGGTTAGGCTAGATGTGTCCTTGATGGTAATGGAACCAGAGAATTCTAAATGGCTTGGGTTGGAAGGGTCATGGAACCAGGGAATTCTAAATGGGTTGTGTTGGAAGGGTCCTTCAAGGTCTTGGTACCAGAGAATTCTAGAATGGGTTAGGCTAGATGTGTCCTTGATGGTAATGGAACCAGAGAATTCTAAATGGCTTGGGTTGGAAGGGTCCTTAAAGGTCATGGAACCAGAGAATTCTAAATCTGAATATGTACGTTTGGTGGCCCTGCTAGGCAGGGGGGTTGGAACTACATGATCCTTGAGGTCCCTTACAACCCGGGTGATTCTGTGATTTTGAGATTCTGTGGAAGGGTCCTTAAAGGTCATGGAACCAGAGAATTCTAAATGGGTTGGTTTGGTAGGGTTCTTAAAGGTTATGGAAGCAGAGCATTCTAAATGGGTTGGGTTGGAAGGGTCCTTAAAGTTCATGTTACCAGAGCATTCTAAATGGGTTGGGTTGGAAGGGTCCTTAAAGGTCATGGAACCAGAGCATTCTAAATGGGTTGGGTTGGTAGGGTCCTTAAAGGTCATGGAACCAGGGAATTCTAAATGGGTTGGGTGGGAAGGGTCTTTGTAGGTCATGGAACCAGAGCATTCTAGAATGGGTTGGGCTAGGTGTGTTCTTGATGGTAATGTAACCAGAGAATTCTAAATGGATGGGGTTGGAAAGGTCCTCAAAGGTAATGGAAGCAGAGAATTCTAAATCTGAATATGTACGTTTGGTGGCCCTGCTAGGCAGGAGGTTTGGAACTACATGATCCTTGAGGTCCCTTCCAACCCAGGTGATTCTGTGATTCTGTGGAAGGATTCTTAAAGGTCATGGAACCAGAGAATTCTAAATGGGTTGGGTTGGAAGGGTCCTTGGAGGTCTTGGAACCTGAGAATTCTTGATGGGTTGGTTTGGAAGGGTCCTTAAAGGTCATGGAACCAGAGAATTCTAAATGGGTTGGGTTGGAATGGTCCTTAAAGGTCATGGAACCAGAGAATTCTAAATGGGTTGGGTTGGAAGGGTCCTTGAAGGTCATGGAATCAGAAAATTCTAAATGGGTTGGGTTGGAAGGGTCCTTAAAGGTCATGGAACCAGGGCATTCTTAATGGGTTTGTTTGGAAGGGTCCTTAAAGGTCATGGAACCAGAGAATTCTAAATGGCTTGGGTTGGAAGGGTCCTTCAAGGTCATGGAACCAGGGAATTCTAAATGGGTTGTGTTGGAAGGGTCCTTGAATGTCTTGGTACCAGAGAATTCTAGAATGGGTTACGCTAGATTTGTCCTTGATGGTAATGGAACCAGAGAATTCTAAATGGCTTGGGTTGGAAGGGTCCTTAAAGGTCATGGAACCAGAGAATTCTAAATCTGAATATGTACGTTTGGTGGCCCTGCTAGGCAGGGGGGTTGGAACTGCATGATCCTTGAGGTCCCTTACAACCCGGGTGATTCTGTGATTTTGTGATTCTGTGGAAGGGTCCTTAAAGGTCATGGAACCAGAGAATTCTAAATGGGTTGGGTTGGAAGGGTCCTTAAAGGTCATGGAACCAGAGCATTCTAAATGGGTTGTGTTGGAAGGGTCCTTGAAGGTCATGGATCCTGAGAATTCTAAATGGATTCGGTTGGAAGGGTCCTCAAAGGGCATGGAACCAGAGCATTCTAAATGGGTTGGGTTGGAAGGGTCCTTAAAGATCATGGAAGCAGAGAATTCCAAATGGGCTGGGTTGGATGGGTCCTCAAAGGGCATGGAACCAGAGAATTCTAAATGGGTTGGGTTGTATGTGTCCTTGATGGTCATGGAACCAGAGAATTCTAAGTGTGTTGGGTTGGAAGACTCCTCATAAGTCATAGAGCCGGAGTATTCTAAATGGGTTTGTTTGGAAGGGTCCTTAAAGGTCACTGAACCAGAGAATTCTAGAATGGGTTGGGTTGGATGTGTCCTTGGAGGTCATGGAACCAGGGAATTCTAGATGGGTTTTGTTGGTAGGATCCTTAAAGGTCTTGGATCCAGAGAATTCTAAATGGGTTGGGTTGGAAGGGTCCTTAAAGGTCATGGAACCAGAGCATTCTAAATGGGTTGTGTTGGAAGGGTCCTTAAAGGTCATGGAACCAGAGCATTCTAAATGGGTTGGGTTAGTAGGGTCCTTAATAGTCATGGAACCAGAGCATTCTAGAATGGCTTGTGTTGGAAGGGTCCTTGAAGGTCATGGAACCAGAGAATTCTAAATGGCTTGGGTTGGAAGGGTCCTTAAAGGTCATGGAACCAGGGAATTCTAAATGGGTTGTGTTGGAAGGGTCCTTGAATGTCTTGGAACCAGAGCATTCTAGAATGGGTTAGGCTAGATGTGTCCTTGATGGTAATGGAACCAGAGAATTCTAAATGGCTTGGGTTGGAAGGGTCCTTAAAGGTCATGGAACCAGAGAATTCTAAATGGGTTGGTTTGGAAGGGTTCTTAAAGGTTATGGAAGCAGAGAATTCATAATGGGTTGGTTTCGAAGTGTCCTTGGAGGTCATGGAACCAGAGAATTCTTACTGGGTTGGTTTCGAAGTGTCCTTGAAGGTCATGGAACCAGAGAATTCTAAATGGGTTGGGTTGGAAGGGTCCTTAAAGGTCATGGAACCAGAGAATTCTAAATGGGTTGTGTTGTAAGGGTCCTTAAAGGTCATGGAACCAGAGCATTCTAATTGGGTTGGGTTGGAAGGGTCCTTAAAGGGCATGGAATCAGAGCATTCTAAATGGGTTGTGTTGGAATGCTCCTCAAAGGTCATGGAACCAGAGCATTCTAAATGGGTTGGGTTGGAAGGGTTCTTAAAGGTCATGGAAGCAGAGAATTCTAAATGGGTTGGGTTGGAAGGGTCCTTAAAGGACATGGAACCAGAGAATTCTAGAATGGGAGTTGTTGAAAGGGTCCTTAAATGTCATGGATCCAGAGAATTCTATATGAGTTCGGTTGGAAGTGTCCTTGGAGGTCATGGAACCAGAGAATTCTAAATAGGTTGGGTTGGAAGGGTCCTTAAAGGTCATGGAACCAGAGAATTCTAAATGGGTTGGGTTGGAAGGGTTCTTAAAGGTCATGGAAGCAGAGAATTCTAAATGGGTTGGGTTGTAAGGGTCCTTAAAGGTCATGGAACCAGAGCATTTTAAATGGGTTGGGTTGGAAGGGGTCCTTAAAGGTCATGGAATAAGTGAATTGTAAATGGGTTGGGTTGGAAGGGTCCTTAAGTTCATGGAACCAGTGCCTTCTAGAATGGGTGTTGTTGGAAGGGTCCTTAAAGGTCATGGAACCAGAGAATTCTAAATCTGAATATGTACGTTTGGTGGCCCTGCTAGGCAGGGGGGTTGGAACTGCATGATCCTTGAGGTCCCTTACAACCCGGGTGATTCTGTGATTTTGTGATTCTGTGGAAGGGTCCTTAAAGGTCATGGAACCAGAGAATTCTAAATGGGTTGGGTTGGAAGGGTCCTTAAAGGTCATGGAACCAGAGCATTCTAAATGGGTTGTGTTGGAAGGGTCCTTGAAGGTCATGGATCCTGAGAATTCTAAATGGATTCGGTTGGAAGGGTCCTCAAAGGGCATGGAACCAGAGCATTCTAAATGGGTTGGGTTGGAAGGGTCCTTAAAGATCATGGAAGCAGAGAATTCCAAATGGGCTGGGTTGGATGGGTCCTCAAAGGGCATGGAACCAGAGAATTCTAAATGGGTTGGGTTGTATGTGTCCTTGATGGTCATGGAACCAGAGAATTCTAAGTGTGTTGGGTTGGAAGACTCCTCATAAGTCATAGAGCCGGAGTATTCTAAATGGGTTTGTTTGGAAGGGTCCTTAAAGGTCACTGAACCAGAGAATTCTAGAATGGGTTGGGTTGGATGTGTCCTTGGAGGTCATGGAACCAGGGAATTCTAGATGGGTTTTGTTGGTAGGATCCTTAAAGGTCTTGGATCCAGAGAATTCTAAATGGGTTGGGTTGGAAGGGTCCTTAAAGGTCATGGAACCAGAGCATTCTAAATGGGTTGTGTTGGAAGGGTCCTTAAAGGTCATGGAACCAGAGCATTCTAAATGGGTTGGGTTAGTAGGGTCCTTAATAGTCATGGAACCAGAGCATTCTAGAATGGCTTGTGTTGGAAGGGTCCTTGAAGGTCATGGAACCAGAGAATTCTAAATGGCTTGGGTTGGAAGGGTCCTTAAAGGTCATGGAACCAGGGAATTCTAAATGGGTTGTGTTGGAAGGGTCCTTGAATGTCTTGGAACCAGAGCATTCTAGAATGGGTTAGGCTAGATGTGTCCTTGATGGTAATGGAACCAGAGAATTCTAAATGGCTTGGGTTGGAAGGGTCCTTAAAGGTCATGGAACCAGAGAATTCTAAATGGGTTGGTTTGGAAGGGTTCTTAAAGGTTATGGAAGCAGAGAATTCATAATGGGTTGGTTGGAATGTCCTTGGAGGTCATGGAACCAGAGAATTCATAATGGGTTGGTTTCGAAGTGTCCTTAAAGGTCATGGAACCAGAGAATTCTAAATGGGTTGGGTTGGAAGGGTCCTTAAAGGTCATGGAACCAGAGAATTCTAAATGGGTTGTGTTGTAAGGGTCCTTAAAGGTCATGGAACCAGAGCATTCTAATTGGGTTGGGTTGGAAGGGTCCTTAAAGGGCATGGAATCAGAGCATTCTAAATGGGTTGTGTTGGAATGCTCCTCAAAGGTCATGGAACCAGAGCATTCTAAATGGGTTGGGTTGGAAGTGTTCTGGGAGGTCATGGAAGCAGAGAATTCTAAATGGGTTGGGTTGGAAGGGTCCTTAAAGGACATGGAACCAGAGAATTCTAGAATGTGTTGGGCTAGATGTGTCCTTGATGGTAATGGAACCAGAGAATTCTAAATGGATGGGGTTGGAAAGGTCCTCAAAGGTCATGGAACCAGAGAATTCTAAATGGGTTGGGTTGGAAGGGTTCTTAAAGGTCATGGAAGCAGAGAATTCTAAATGGGTTGGGTTGTAAGGGTCCTTAAAGGTCATGGAACCAGAGCATTTTAAATGGGTTGGGTTGGAAGGGTCCTTAAAGGTCATGGAATAAGTGAATTGTAAATGGGTTGGGTTGGAAGGGTCCTTAAGTTCATGGAACCAGTGCCTTCTAGAATGGGTGTTGTTGGAAGGGTCCTTAAAGGTCATGGAACCGGAGAATTCTAAATGGGTTAGTTTGGAAGGGTCCTTGATGGTAATGGAACCAGAGAATTCTAAATGGATTGGGTTGGAAATGTCCTCAAAGGTCATGGAACCAGAGAATTCTAAATCTGAATATGTACGTTTGGTGGCCCTGCTAGGCAGGGGGGTTGGAACTACATGATCCTTGAGATCCCTTCCAACCCGGTTGATTCTGTGATTCCGTGATTCTGTGGAAGGAATCTTAAAGATCATGGAACCAGAGAATTATAAATGAGTTGGGTTGGAAGGGACTTTGAAGGTCATGGAACCAGAGAATTCTAGAATGACTTGGGTTGGAAGGGTCCTTAAAGGTCATGGAAGCAGAGAATTCTTAATAGGTTGTGTTTGAAGGGTCCTTGAAGGTCGTGGAAATAGAGCATTCTAAATGGGTTGTGTTGGAAGGGTCCTTAAAGGTCATGGAACCAGAGAATTCTTAACGGGTTGCTTTAGAAGGTTCTTAAAGGTCATGGAAGCAGAGAATTCTAAATGTGTTGGTTTGGAAGAATCCTTGAAGGTCATGGAAGCAGAGAATTCTTAATGGGTTGGGTTGGATGTGTCCTTGGAGGTCATGGAACCTGGGAATTCTAGATGGGTTTTGTTTGAAGGATCTTTAATGGTCATAGAACCAGAGAATTCTAAATGGGTTGGGTTGGAAGGGTCCTTAAAGGTCATGGAACCAGAGAATTCTAAATGGATTTGGTTGGAAGGTTCCTTAAAGGTCATGGAACCAGATCATTCTAAATGGGTTGGGTTGGAAGGGTCCTTAAAGGTCATGGAACCAGGGAATTCTAAATGGGTTGTGTTGGAAGGGTCCTTAAAGGTCATGGAAGCAGAGAATTCTAAATGGGTTGGGTTGGAATGGTCCTTAAAGGTCATGGAACCAGAGAATTCCAAATGCGTTGGGTTGGAAGGGTCCTTGAAGGTCATGGAATCAGAAAATTCTAAATGGGTTGTGTTTGAAGGGTCCTCAAAGGTCATGGAACCAGAGAATTCTAAATGAGTTGGGTTGTAAAGGTCCTTAAAGGTCATGGAACCAGAGAATTCTAAATGGGTTGGTTTGGAATTGTCCCTAAAGGTCATGGAAGCAGAGAATTCTAAATGGGTTGGGTTGGAAGGGTCCTTAAAGGTCATGGAACCAGAGAATTCTAAATGGATTGGGTTGGAAGAGTCCTTAAAGGTCATGGAACCAGGGAATTCTAAATGGGTTGTGTTGGAAGGATCCTTAAAGTTCATGGAAGCAGAGAATTCTAAATGGGTTGGGTTGGAATGGTCCTTAAAGGTCATGGAACCAGAGAATTCTAAATGGGTTGGGTTGGAAGGGTCCTTGAAGGTCATGGAATCAGAAAATTCTAAATGGGTTGTGTTGGAAGGGTCCTTGGAGGTCATGGAACCAGGGCATTCTTAATGGGTTTGTTTGGAAGGGTCCTTAAAGGTCATGGAACCAGAGAATTCTAAATAGGTTGGGTTGCAAGGGTCCTTAACGGTCATGGAACCAGAGAATTCTAAATGGGTTGTGTTGGAAGGGGCCTTGAAGGTCATGGATCCAGAGCATTCTAAATGGGTTGTGTTGGAAGGGTCCTTAAAGGTCATGGAACCAGAGAATTCTAAAAGGGTTGGGTTGGAAGGGTTCTTAAAGGTCATGGAAGCAGAGACTTCCAAATGGGTTGGGTTGGAATGGTCCTTCAAGTTCATGGAACCAGACAATTCTAAATGGGTTGGGTAGTATGTGTCCTTGATGGTTATGGAACCAGAGAATTCTAAGTGTGTTGGGTTGGAAGACTCCTCATAAGTCATAGAGCCGGAGGATTCTAAATGGGTTGGGTTGGAAGGGTCCTTAAATGTCACTGAACCAGAGAACTCTAGAATGGGTTGGGTTGGATGTGTCCTTGGAGGTCATGGAACCTGGGAATTCTAGATGGGTTTTGTTGGTGGGATCCTTAAAGGTCTTGGATCCAGAGAATTCTAAATGGGTTGGGTTGGAAGGGTCCTTAAAGGTCATGGAACCAGAGCATTCTAAGTGGGTTGGGTTGGAAGGGTCCTTAAAGGTCATGGAACCAGAGAATTCTAAATGGCTTGTGTTGGAAGGGTCCTTAAAGGTCATGGAACCAGAGCCTTCTAGAATGGGTGTTGTTGGAAGGGTCCTTAAAGGTCATGGAACCAGAGAATTCTAAATGGGTTGTGTTGTAAGGGTCCTTAAAGATCATGGAACCAGAGAATTCTAAATGGGTTGGGTTGGAAGGGTCCTTAAAGGTCATGGAACCAGAGCATTCTAAATGGGTTGTGTTGGAAGGGTCCTCAAAGGTCATGGAACCAGAGCATTCTAAATGGGTTGGGTTGGTAGGGTCCTTAAAGGTCATGGAACCAGGGAATTCTAAATGGGTTGGGTGGGAAGGGTCCTTGAAGGTCATGGAACCAGAGCATTCTAGAATGGGTTGGGCTAGATGTGTCCTTGATGGTAATGTAACCAGAGAATTCTAAATGGCTTGGGTTGGAAAGGTCCTCAAAGGTAATGGAAGCAGAGAATTCTAAATTTGAATATGTACGTTTGGTGGCCCTGCTAGGCAGGGGGCTTGGAACTACATGATCCTTGAGGTCCCTTGCAACCCAGGTGATTGTGTGATTCTGTGATTCTGTAGAAGGATTCTTAAAGGTCATGGAACCAGAGAACTCTAAATGGGTTGGGTTGGAAGGGTCCTAAAAGGTCATGGAACCAGAGATTTCTAGAATGGGTTGGGTTGGAAGGGTCCTTAAAGGTCAAGGAACCAGAGAATTCTAAATGGGTTGGGTTGTAAGGGTCCTTAAAGGTCATGGAACCAGAGCATTCTAAGTGGGTTGGGTTGGAAGTGTCCTTGGAGGTCATGGAACCTGAGAATTCTAAATGGGTTGGGTTGGAAGGGACCTTAAAGGTCATGAAACCAGAGAATTCTAGAATGTGTTGGGCTAGATGTGTCCTTGATGGTAATGGAACCAGAGAATTCTAAATGGATGGGGTTGGAAAGGTCCTCAAAGGTCATGGAACCAGAGAATTCTAAAAGGGTTGTGTTGGAATGGTCCTTAAAGGTCATGGAACCAGAGAATTCTAGAATGGCTTGGGTTGGAAGAGTCCTCAGAAGTAATGGAGCCGGAGTATTCTAAATGGGTGTTGTTGGAAGGGTCCTTAATGGTCACTGAACCAGAGAATTCTAGAATGGGTTGGGTTAGATATGTCCTTGGAGGTCATGGAACCTGGGAATTCTAAATGGGTTTTGTTGGAAGGATCCTTAATGGTCTTGGATCCAGAGCCTTCTAGAATGGGTGCTGTTGAAAGGGTCCTCAAAGTTCATGGAACCAGAGAATTCTAAATGGCTTGTGTTGGAAGGGTCCTTAAAGGTCATGGATCCAGAGAATTCTAAATCTGAATATTTACGTTTGGTGGCCCTGCTAGGCAGGGGGGTTGGAACTACATGATCCTTGAGATCCCTTCCAACCCGGTTGATTCTGTGATTCTGTGATTCTGTGATTCTGTGGAAGGAATCTTAAAGATCATGGAACCAGAGAATTATAAATGAGTTGGGTTGGAAGGGTCTTTGAAGGTCATGGAACCAGAGAATTCTAGAATGGCTTGGGTTGGAAGGGTCCTTGGAGGTCATGGAAGCAGAGAATTCTTAATGGGTTGGTTTCGAAGTGTCCTTGAAGGTCATGGAACCAGAGAATTCTAAATGGGTTGGGTTGGAAGGGTTCTTAAAGGTCATGGAAGCAGAGAATTCTAAATGGGATGGGTTGGAAGGGTCCTTAAAGGTCATGGAACCAGAGAATTGTAGATGGGTTGGATTGGAAGAGTCCTCAGAAGTCATGGAGCCGGAGTATTCTAAATGGCTTGGGTTGGAAGGGTCCTTAATGGTCACTGAACCGGACAATTCTAGAATGGGTTGGGTTGGATGTGTCCTTGGAGGTCATGGAACCTGGGAATTCTAGATGGGTCTTGTTGGAATGATCCTTAATGGTCTTGGATCCAGAGCCTTCTAGAATGGGTGTTGTTGAAAGGGTCCTTAAAGGTCATGGAACCAGAGCATTCTAAATCTGAATATGTACATTGGGTGGCCCTGCTAGGCAGGGGGGTTGGACTACATGATCCTTGAGGTCCCTTACAACCCGGGTGATTCTGTGATTTTGTGATTCTGTGGAAGGATTCTTAAAGATCATGGAACCAGAGAATTATAAATGGGTTGTGTTGTAAGGCTCCTTAAAGGTCATGGAACCAGAGCATTCTAAATGGGTTGGGTTGGAAGGGATCTTAAAGGTCATGGAACCAGAGCATTCTAAATGAGTTGGGTTGGAAGGGTTCTTAAAGGTCATGGAACCAGAGAATTCTAAATGGGTTGGGTTGGAAGAATCCTCAGAAGTCATGGAACCAGAGAATTCTAAATGGGTTGGGTTGGAATGGTCCTTAATGGTCATGGAACCCCAGCATTCTAAATGGGTTGGGTTTGAAAGGTCCTCAAAGGTCATGAAACCAGAGAATTCTAAATGGGTTGGGTTGTAAGGGTTCTTAAAGGTCATGGAACCAGAACATTCTAAACGCGTTGGGTTGGAATGGTCCTTAAAGGTCATGGAACCAGAGAATTCTAAATGGGTTGGGTTGGAAGGGTCCTTCAAGGTCATGGAAGCAGAGAATTCTAAATGGGTTGGGTTCGAATGGTCCTTAATGGTCATTGAACGTGAGAATTCTAAATGGGTTGAACTGGATGTGTCCTTGATGGTCATGGAACCAGAGAATTCTATATGGGTGTTGTTGGAAGGGTCCTTAAGTGTCATGGAACCGGAGAATTGTAAATCGGTTGGGATGGAAGGGTCCTTAAAGGTCATGGAACCAGAGAATTCTAAATGGGTTGGGTTGGAAGGGTCCTTCAAGGTCATGGAACCAGAGAATTCTAGAATGGCTTGGGTTGGAAGGGTCCTTAAAGTCATGGAACCGGAGAATTCTAAATGGGTTGTGTTAAAAAAGTCCTTAACGGTCATGGAACCAGAGAATTCTTAATGGCTTGGTTTGGAAGGGTCCTTAATGGTCATGGAAGCAGAGAATTCTAGAATGGGTTGGGCTAGATGTGTCCTTGATGGTAATGGAACCAGAGAATTCTAAATGGTTTGGGTTGGATGTGTCCTCAATGGTCATGGAACCTGAGAATTCTAAATCTGAATATGTACGTTTGGTGGCCCTGCTAGGCAGGGGGGTTGGAACTACATGATCCTTGAGATCCCTTAAAACCCGGGTGATTCTGTGATCTGTGATTCTGTGGAAGGATTCTTAAAGATCATGGAACCAGAGAATTATAAATGGGTTGGGTTGGAAGGGTCCTTGAAGGTCATGGAACCCGAGCATTCTAAATGGGTTGGGTTTGAAAGGTCCTCAAAGGTCACGAAACCAGAGAATTCTAAATGGGTTGGGTTGTAAGGGTCCTTAAAGGTCATGGAACCAGAGCATTCTAAAAGGGTTGGGTTGGAATGGTCCTTAAAGGTCATGGAACCAGAGCATTCTAAATGGGTTGGGTTGGAAGGGTCCTTAAAGGTCATGGAACCAGAGAATTCTTAATGGGTTGTGTTGGAAGGGTCCTTCAAGGTCATGGAAGCAGATAATTCTAAATGGGTTGGGTTGGAAGGGTCCTTAAAGGTCATGGAACCCGAGCATTCTAAATGGGTTGGGTTGGAATGGTCCTTAAAGGTCATGGAACCAGAGAATTCTAAATGGGTTGGGTTGTATGTGTCCTTGATGGTCATGGAAGCAGAGAATTTTAAATGGGTTGGTTTGTATGTGTTCTTGATGGTCATGGAACCAGAGAATTCTAAATGGGTTGGGTTGGAAGGGTCCTTAAAGGTCATGGAATCAGAAAATTCTAAATGGGTTGGGTTGGAAGGGTCCTTAAAGGTCCTGGAACCAGAGCATTCTAAATGGGTTGGGTTGGAAGGGTCCTTAAAGGTCATGCAACCAGAGCATTCTAGAATGGGTTGGGCTAGATGTGTTCTTGATGGTAATGGAGCCAGAGCATTCTAAATGGGTTGTGTTTGAAGGGTCCTCAAAGGTCATGGAACCAGAGAGTTCTAAATGAGTTGGGTTGTAAGGGTCCTTAAAGGTCATGGAACCAGAGAATTCTAAATGGGTTGGGTTGGAAGGGTCCTTGAAGGTCATGGAACCAGAGAATTCTAGAATGGCTTGGGTTGGAAGGGTCCTTAAAGGTCATGGAATCAGAGAATTCTAGAATGGGTTGGGCTAGATGTGTCCTTGATGGTAACGGAACCAGCGCATTCTAAATGGATTGGGTTGGAAAGGTCCTCAAAGGTCATGGAACCAGGGAATTCTAAATCTGAATAGGTACGTTTGGTGGCCCTGCTAGGCAGGGGGGTTGGAACTACATGATCCTTGAGGTCCCTTACAACCCGGGTGATTCTGTGATTCTGGGATTCTGTGGAAGTATTCTTAAAGATCATGGAACCAGAGAATTATAAATGGGTTGTGTTGTAAGGGTTCTTAAAGGTCATGGAAGCAGAGAATTCTTAATGGGTTGGGTTGGAAGGGTCCTTAAAGGTCATGGAAGCAGAGAATTCTAAATGGGTTGGGTTGGAAGGGTCCTTAAAGGTCATGGAAGCAGAGAATTCTTAATGGGTTGGGTTGGAAGGTTTCTTAAAGGTCATGGAAGCAGAGAATTCTTAATGGGTTGGGTTGTAATGGTCCTTGATGGTCATGGAAGCAGAGAATTCTTAATGAGTTGGTTTGTAAGGGTCCTTAAATGTCATGGAAGCGGAGAATTCTAAATGGGTTGGGTTGGAAGGGTCTTTGGAGATCATGGAACCTTGGAATTCTAATTGGGTTTGGTTGGAAGGGTCCTTAAATGTCATGGAAGCGGAGAATTCTAAATGGGTTGGGTTGGAAGGGTCCTTGGAGGTCATGGAACCTTGGAATTCTAATTGGGTTTGGTTGGAAGGGTCCTTAAAGGTCATGGAACCTGAGAATTCTAAATGGGTTTGGTTGGAAGGGTCCTTAAAGGTCATGGAAGCAGAGAATTCTAAATGGTTTGGGTTGGAAGGGTCCTTAAAGGACATGGAACCAGAGAATTCTAAATTAGTTGGGTTGGAAGGGTCCTGAAAGGTCATGGAACCAGAGAATTCTAAATGGGTTGTGTTGGACTCCTTAAAGGTCATAGAACCAGGGAATTATAGAATAAGTTGGGTTGGAAGGGTCCTTAAAGGTCATGGAACTAGAGACTTCTAAATGGGTTTTGTTGGAAGGGTCCTTGAAGGTCATGGAAGCATGAGAGCGATGAGAGGAGTGTGCAGGATGAAACAGCTTGAGGCCATTTTATGGGGTTAAAAGCCTCTCTGTAGTCTGTGGCATGCTTCAGGTAGAAAATTCCCATTACTGAGGCAATGTGAAATTTAGAGTAATTATTTGTCACTTACACATACATGAGGTTATTAAAACAGGCTGAGGGAAAATATTAAGCTAGATGTGAATGCCAGTTCATGAAATTAAAGTAAAACAATTCCTCATTAACCCTGGGCATATATGCACTCATGCATAAGAATACCTGTTCTGAAATTCTTTGCTTGCTCTCAAAGTGTATTAAATTCTTCTCTGTAGTAAATGACTGCCTGAGTGCGCGCTATGAGAATTATTTTTTTAGTGCTAGTCATTAGGACTTCTTAAAATGGCCTAACCTGTATACTGAACCTCATTTCTCTGAACGGTCCATTAACATGGCAAAAGACAGAGATGGGTTATTTCTCTTTCAACATGGAAAAAGTTGTTCCACAGTTGCAGAGTAACAGTGAGGAAGGTTAGAGTCAGTATCATGCAGATCCTCCCTTTCTGACTGGCTTTCATCCAAGGGCCATTCTGGTTCTCGCCCAGAAAAGAGGACCAGCAAGAGGATTCTGATAGTGCTGTATCTAAAACAGGGGAGGTGGAAGGTGATGAAGCTGGGAAATGGTAATCTACTGGGAGGAGTGCTGTACTGATGTGCCCAGCTGCAGGCGGCTGTGCCTGGAGCAATGCCTGCTGCGGTGTGTATGAGCAGTGGGGCAGGAGGGGGCGATGGGGGAGCTGAGACCAACGCTGGCAGCTGGTGCCTTGGTTTCCCTGCCTCACAGCCTGCGAGGCAAAACGTGACCTGGTCTGGAGGGACACCTGGTGGAGATGCAGGAAAAGGCAAGTCCCTGCCCTGCCTCTGAAGTACTGCTTAGGTCCGTTTCTGCAAATACAAGACATTCTTCATACTTCTGCTACAGAAGAGATGGATCCATAGACCCAAAACGTGAAGGTGTTTCAGGACTCGACTGAGTAGCACGCATGCCAAAAATGTGGGCATGTTGGTTTTGAAGCAGAGCTGCCCTGGGAGCGGAGCCCAGCCGTGTTGCTGAAGCGTTGTAAGGCAGTGCTACCTGTAGCTCGTGGTCCTACAGCATTGCTGTCCTGTGTGTTGCCCTTTGCAGACAAGGGCATCTCACCAGTGCCTGTGTGCATGGTTGCAAAACTTAGTCTCTCCGCTGCTTGTTCCTCTGGGCCTGCAGGGATACTCAGTTTGTGTTTGATGCACGAGTTGCTGTGCTTCAACTGTTGTAGAATAATTCAGCATACACTCCTGCTCTACAGCAAACACAAGGTAGCTTTGCTGTCCTTATTTGCCTAATTAGCTTCTAGGACAACGAAGAGACTTTCCAGACTGTGGTACATGCAGCCTGGCTGAGGAATCCTTACACGTATTCCGTTTATATTGAGGGTCTGTTTTTGCAAAAGCAAGGATCTGAAGTGCTGCCAGGGAAAGGCTGCTCTGGTATACCTAGTGTACAACTTGCTTATCTTGCTTACCTTGTTCTGTATCAGAGTTTGAAAGAAACTTCACTGTGTCCTGATTGTTCTCCCTTTTTAATTGCTCATGGCTGCAAGAATAAGAATTTCAGGTATAACAGGCCAGAAATCCCAGGGATTACAAACTGAAGTTATTCCTCTGTACATTTGCATAGAACTGTTGCCAGCTGTTTTATGTTAACTCCATTTGCATATCTTCTTTCTTGGCATTTTATGGGCAGTTAATTTGTAATTAACCCACTTACTGCTGGATTGAAAAATGCACAGTGCCAAAGGTGTTGCAAAGATCTTGTGTTTTTTGTATTGCAGTACAAAAGGCATGAATTGTCTGAGACATGCAGGAAGTTAAGGGACCTGAGGGCATTTGAACAATGAAAACAGCACTCCTGGTATCTCTCACTCCTGCTTATTAGGGCGAATCTCTTTGATTTCTTTTTCAAACCTCAGCTTTGCAGCCATGGCCCATCTCCTCGTCATGCATCCCATATCACACTTCTTGGGTGCAGTCAGGTTTCCATTCCAAGTCAAGTCAGATATGTGATCTCTGTCTAGCTTTCTGTAAGACCAGACTTTAGATATTTTCAGGGATGCTTTTAATGGCTGTTTGAGAACAAGCTGGTGGCCTTCGCTGTGTCTGTGAGTTTTGAAAGTTGCTCTGCTGTAACCAGAAGTGTACTTTTTCCTTTTTTTTTTTTTACTTTCTTTAAGGGACATTAAAGCTGGAAATATTCTTCTAACAGAACCAGGACAAGTAAAGCTAGCTGATTTTGGGTCTGCATCTATAGTCTCCCCTGCCAATTCCTTCGTAGGAACACCTTACTGGTGAGTAAAGCCTGGGATACTTCACTCTAAGTCTTCTCTCATGTTTCCAGCACTTCATAATCTGGAAATAATGTCTGGAACAAAAACTATGTGAATCAAACAGTATTTCTGTTTACAATTCCTGTGTCCAGGGGATGGTTCTTTCTCAGTACCTGTGAGTAGAGACTGATTGTGCAGAGCTTTGAAATGGCACCAGTGCATTTTCTGGCTGTTGTAATACCTTTGGCTTAGAAACAGTTAATGTTTGCCATAGGTAATGGAACGAAGGCAACCACACAGAGTAAAAGGGAGTTCTGTTCATCCATGCCTGCAGACTGGAAGTCAGATGGCTGTGTGGATTCTGTGTTTAAAGAGACTTGCTTAAGAGTCACTTGAGTCGCTTTACATTGCTAACTAACATGGGGAACCAGCATAGCTTTACACCACACTGATTTTGTGGTGGACACCCCATGCCCCGATGGGAGGTTATGTATCACCCAACCTCTGAACAAGTTTGTTTGGCAAGAAGCTTCATCTTGGAAGAACAAAAGCTGCAGGGCTGAATTCCTGCAGGCTGGGCCTGCTGCTTGTTTCCCCTCTACTTTCCTCTTTATTCTGGGCCTCTGGATTTCCCTGTTCTTTCCATAGCTGCACTCAAGGCTGCCTCTGCCTGCAGGAAAATTCTGCTGATGTGCCAATGGAAAACCTGCCATCTCTGGGGACAAGTGATGGCTTTAGGACTTCTCCAGCCCCTGCAGTCTGCCTGCAGGTACAGGGCCTTTCAGGCCAGCTCCCCATGTGCTAATAGTGAGGTGATCAGGTTGACCTCTTATTTTCTTTTCTTAAACTGTCTTTTGGAAGAGTGGCTCATGCAGGCAAGCACTGTTTCATTTCAGTGTGGTTTTACTGAGCTCCCTGCTGACTCTTCACGTTCTGGTTCGCTGTGGAGCTGAAGCTGATGGAGCCATCTCATTTTTAAGCTGTGTGCTGGGAGTCACTTTTTATATCTTCTGACCTGTGTGTTTTGCACTGTGGTTGGTAGGATGGCACCAGAGGTGATCCTTGCTATGGACGAAGGACAGTACGATGGAAAGGTGGATGTTTGGTCTCTTGGGATCACATGTATTGAGTTAGGTGAGTAAATACTTTGCAACAGAAATGAATCATCACTGCATTTAATATTTAATAATATTTAATAATCACTAGAGGGCTGTTGAGTTTTGTTTTAGATAAATTTTGTTTTGTTCTGGACAGTGCATTGTTGACACTGTAGGGCAGCATGCACCAAAGGTACCAGATAATGCGTTTTGACTTGTTTGGATAAGAAATTCAAGGAAGATGGAGACCACATTTTATGGGGCTGTTTTGTGAATATTGAGCCCCTTTCCAGGCTCTGCTAAACTATCTTTCAGTTTCCAAACCAGTGCTTATTCTAAGGGTACTTAAGCCAGGCTTCTGTCGATGACAACCAGGATGTTGTACTTATGGAGGCTGAGCTCCATATAATGACAGATATTTTGTTCCATGGAACCTAAACTCTTCCTGTGCCCATGTGTTGTTCAGATTGATGCCTCAATCTGGCACAAGCGTGTTCTGAGCATACCATCAAAGACATGGCCAGTTTAGGGACTGTAGGTGTTTGCCAAGCACGGATCACAACTCATTTCCCTGAGCTCACTCTGTGTATTAGGAAGAGCCTCACACTGAAAATAACAACTGTGTTCATGAGTAATACCAGACTCGTGGACTCCAGATGTTGCTAAGAACAGTGGAAGTAAAATTCTGTGTTCAAATTGCTGCACCTCAGGCAGTTTTTATATAGGAATTCTAAATACTTCAATTTATAGACTGATTAAATGTTGATGTGGGAAGATGCACAATGGCCATAAGGCAGTCATTTGAACAGAGAGGGTTAGTGCACCTCACAAGGAATGTGTGGTCAAACATGAACAGAAGTGAAAAAAATACTTCATGGGTTGGAATGAGAGAGAAGCAAACTTCCAGTATTTCTGCTGAAGTTTTAGAAACGTCTCTTCCTACTTTATATCATCTGTCCCCTGCTGTTCTGCTGTGGAACAAAGCGCTGCTATTTTTATTTTTGCTCCCAGAGAAGAGGGAACTATGGCTTGTAGTTTGCTTTGGTTTGTTTGTTTTTTACTAACTGGGTTTTGGGAAGACTGGAGCAACTATTATGCCAAGGGAGTCAGTGTCCTAAGAAGTTTGTGTTAGATGAGGCCTGCATTTAGCTTTCAACTCTTCCTATTATTTCCCCAATCTGGAAAAAAAAATAAATGAATCTTAGTCTCACTTACAAGTTTGTGACATGAATCAATGTGGACAGGTTCCGTGCATGGGAAGAAAAGGGTTTGCACTGCAGGGGGCAGAAGATGCACGTGGGTACTGCCTGAAGGAAAGGTGGATGGGATAGCAGAGAACAGAGCAGATCCGTGCACTTCAAGTTTGGATATTGACCTTGCATGTGCTTCTCAAGGAGGAGATCTCAGTGGCTGAATAGATCCCATGCTCCCTATGCAGGCATCCAGTCTTAATAGTAGAATTTGTGTGCAGCTTTTCAGTCAAGAACTGTTAAAGTGAGAGCTGTGCATGATTCCATATCTGAGCGTGGAGTTGGTGTGAAGGGCAGAGATCTCTTGATGAGCACCACTTGGCTTTCTGTGAATACTGATGTCTTAATTCCTTCTATGGCTACAAGTAGTGCTCAAAGACAAGCAAATGCAGTGCTTTGTGTGCATGCTGCATGACAAGTGATTGCTCCCATCTGACCTGGGATGAACTGTCAAAATGCTGGCATTGCTGGTTTGGCACAGCTCACACTGCAGGGCAGGTGGGCTCTTCCCAGTTTCGGGGTGAAGTCTGCTGTGTTGTTGGGAGCTGTTGGGCTGTGTCCTGCTGGGCTGGGAAGAAGTTGGGTGAGGAGGAGCTAAGGGCACATCTGGCAGTGAACGTGGCAGATTGTCTGGCTTCCATGGGGGGCAGCCAATGACAGAGGAAAGGGGCAGCTGCTCTATTCCTGAAGCATAGGTGGCGTGCTGTACAACTGCGCCCTGTTTTGAGCAGCTCCTGCTGATTTTACCCTAGCAGATCAGGTGTGGAATGTTGCAGTTAACGTAAAATGTACTGGAAGCTCTTCCTTGTGATTTGCATCCTTCTTTGGATTTCATTATCCCATCTACAAGTGAGTAACAGCTTTCCTCGAGTGGTTGTCCTGGGCTAACCTAGAAGATTAAAATAATTGGCCTAGATGTGATGACAGCAGTAATGAGCTATTGATTTAGCAGCAATACTCTGCTCATGCTTCCATATCTTTCTCCTTTTCTCTCCAGACTGCCTTATCACACTTTTCTCTTCTCTTTCTAGCTGAAAGGAAGCCTCCGCTTTTCAACATGAATGCAATGAGTGCCTTATATCACATAGCCCAGAACGATTCCCCTACGTTGCAGTCAAACGAATGGTAAGAGAGCAATTACCAGGTGGTTTTTTTGGCTGTGCGTGGCTCAAGTCTGACAAGAAAAGCGTTTGTTGCAGTGGAGTGGTTTGACTGTGTTCCTGAATAATGCTCCTGTGTAGGCAGGCTCAGTTTTGACCTTCTGTCACTTTGGCTGTGCTACAATCTAAACGTGTGGAGGTGTTAATTATGGGGCTGTAGATGCAGCAGGAATTAAAATATTCTTGGATGCACTAAGCCAGCCTTAGCTCAGCATTAGCAACGTTTCCAGCTGCAAAAAAGCTCTGACAGGAGAACTGTTAGCATTGTAGTGCAGCAGAAATGTGGAGGAAGGAAGGGGAGATGCTGCTGAGGTAATTAGGTACCTTTTTTTTCGGTGAGCAATTTCGAAAGTCCACAGAGCTCTGTGCCCAGTAACTGCTCCCCATGCTACAGGCCTGTGTTCCAGAATCTAAGCTGTAATACAACAGCGTTTTGTTAATGGTCTGAGAGTGAAGGCGTTATTCCACGTCTTGCTCTGTTTACTCATGAGTGGAATGTAGCCATGAATGATGCTTGGCAGGCTCTGCAGATGGCTGGGAACAATAGCTCCTGGGGAGGTGTGAAATTCCCCGTTACTCTTAGCCATTTAAGTAGCCTAATTATTTCATTGCTGATCGTTTTATCAGAACCACTCCGCATCAGTTTCCTTACCTCATCATCTCTCTTTTGGCCATTTTTCAAGATTCAGCAAAATTGGTCTCATATCTCCACACCAATACTTGGATCCTTCCGTGCGAATTTGCAATGCAGAATAGAAACAACTTGTGAATACAGTGCAAGCATCAGTACTCTTGATTGCAGACTGTTTATGTCACCTGTTTGCTCTCCGTGCCTTAGAGGACAAGGAGCAGGCAAGGTGCCTTTTCTGCTGCTTTTGGGTTCAGTAGGCACCTAGAAGGTTAGTTTTGCTCTTGCAGGCTGTCATACAAGCTCCCAGCCTGAAGTTTGGCTGAGCTGAGCATGTAGCAAGATGCTTTCCTGAGTCAGTGCTGCAAGTGGGAAGCATCTACAAGTTGGGTCGTTCCATCAGCAAGCTTAAAGAGTGCATTTCTAGAGATGCTGCTGATTTCAGTGTCACCTGATTTTAAGCAGTTGAAGTAATGCTGAGAACACAGGCTGGTACACAGAGCTCTTACAGGTTTTGTGTTGTGGTTGGGGTTAATGGTTTGTCCACAGTTTGTCCCCACAGTATTTGATTGCTGAAAGAACTGGTGGGATCAACTAGATTTTGGAGAGGTGCAGTGTTAATGTTTGTGCCCTAGAGCTTGAGAACAAAGCAGTCAGGCTGTGTCTGTTTCAGATCTTAAGCTTGTTTTCCGTGTTGAACTTTTATTTTAATTTACAGGTCAGACTCCTTTAGGGGATTTGTTGATTACTGCTTACAGAAAATACCTCAGGAAAGGCCATCATCAGCAGATCTACTACGGGTAAATTTTCAACTCTCTTTCAGAAATTTGGGGGGAAAAAATGGTTTGTTTAACCCCAAACCAATTCTAATGATGGTGCATAGTGACGGTGATATTTACCCTTTCCAAAACACTGTCGCTTTTGCTCTTGTCTGTATTGGAAGTGTTTTGGATTTCATTTAAATTACCTTTGAAATGCTGAAGGATACATGTGCTTACTGGCCTGCTTGCCATGGGTTGAATCTGGAATTCTCTGTATACCTGCTGGAATAAGGCTGCATTTACACATTGGTTGGACCTGATGTGTTCACTTGCTGTGAAGTGAAAGATTTGCAGAAGCCCCGTGCTTGGTGGTGGCACGAGGCTGTTTCTGCTTGTCCCTAAAGGTTGGGAATTCTTTGCCTTTTCTATGCATTCACCTTCCTAAAATCTGCCATCAAACTCTTACTAAGAGAAGCGTTATTTTTCTGGGTGCAATCTCAGTGAGGTTTAAGGCACTCTGTGGAGTCAACAAGGAAACCTGAAAAGCCATTTTAATTGCCACTCAAAGCCCAGACTTCACCATCCTCTGTGAGCTGCGTGGGCAAATCTTGGAAATGCTTTCAGAATTATATTCCATGAGATCAGAGGATTAGGACCTTAATAAAGTTTGCAGATGGTGGCTGCTTATTTAAAGAAATGTGAGTGTTAAAGAGATGGGGTGACCAAAGCACGACTGATGCATGGGGTGCCCTGAAGTGGCACGTCTCGTCCTTTGCCAGTGTGATGCAGGAAGATTATCTCAACCTTTTCTCCTCATGTAATGGCAATTTCAGCATGATTGGTTCTTTATCTGTCCATACCTTTCGGATCTATTTGCAGCTACCCTGCCCAGTGGCAGCTCAGCTCTTTCTTTTTGTTCTGATCATGTAAATCATTCCTTTGGGCTTTTCTGATCTTATCTGGGGGCTGTTTTTGTTTTGGGCAGGCATTTCTGGCACTAATGTGTCTGATGGCATGCTGCCCCAGGTGTGGTTGCATAGGAGAGGTTGGCCAGGCTGTGCTGTGCTGCACCAGGGTGCCTTGGGCTGCATTGGCTGCTGCCTTGTTCAGCGATCTCAGCACATTTATGGTTGGTGCCACCTGTCCATCTCTCATATTATTACTTAACAAACACATTCTGCATCTTTTTCTATTGTGGATTTCCAACCGTTACACTTTTCAACTTCTCTGTGCAGTGTTAAAAGTTAGGGTGAAAACAGCACTCACAGGTTAGGCCTAAGTTGACTTCCCTCCTCTTGTAAACAACCAAAAGTCACTTACATCCCTTCCATTCTGTAACCCAAACAGTTAGAATTTTTGTTTTGGGAAGTGCCTTGTGCAGGCTTGTCATTGCTGTGAGCATATGGAGCAGGACCTGAGCTGGGATTGATGTGTCCTCAACTTGCCAGGGTCCTGGCAGGGAACCACGCACCCATCACTGTTTCTGAAGCCATCGGCTTTCATTTCTCCCCAAACCATTTATTATTCCATAGGCAAAGCCTTTGGAATATTTAAGAGCAACCTTCCTTTCAGTGGTAGGGATGTGTGCAGTCCTGTCCAGCCCCTTCTCCATCAAGCTGCTGCTTTTTCTTTTAAGTGTTTCCTTTCTTTAACATTGATGAGTGGCCCTGCTATTCCTCTGGTTGCCGTGCGTAGCTGCTGGTGAGAACTGCATGGCATGCTGCTGTTCCACACCAGGTAAACAGGACTCAGTTTTTCCTTAAATATTTGAGCAGAGGAATTGTTAGCTCCTTAGGGTGTTTTGCTTAATTTCCACAGTAGGTTAGATTGCTGCTCTGTGTCTACCTGACAGCCTTTTCATGCTGATTTTTGTTCTAAGGCTACCATTCAGCCTTTGTTTTATGGCTTCTCTTGTTGCTTTTTCGGCTCAGTAAAATGCATTCTCATGGATATTTCTGAATCTTTTGGTTCTCAAAGTGAGAAATGGAAATCATGCAGTCGTTGCTGAATAGCTGGCTTTGCACTCGCTTCAGTCTTTGCTTTAAGCCTGGACCATATAGAATATTTAACCCTCACGCCTTCACTTTCCAGGTACAGGCTGACAGACGAGCTTGTTTTCATTCTCTTCAGCACCCAGTGTGTTTCCCTGTCATCTGTTTGTGCCGTGCCACTTACCCAGCGTTTTGTTCTCTGGTTCTGCTTGCAGCACCCCGACAATCCCTTGACCAGCTAATAGGTTTATGCTGTGGGTTTCAGAGTGATTCATTCATGTGGATTGGCAGTCTTTCTGCTCTCTAGGAATAGCACAAGTTCATTGAAGGATATGATTTCACGAGCGCCGTACGTTGGAGTCTATGCAAACAATTGGAGCTGAGGTGGCATTCTTAAATTATGTATATTCCATCGTTTTTCTTGGATTTTACACTTTCAGAGCAGTCCCCCAGATGTTCCCTCCCGCTGGAAGCATCTCCTCCCTAAAGCCTGTCAGATTATACATTCAACTGCTTCTTTTTGGGGGAGGGTTTTCTGCTGGCATACAGTAAACAGGAATAGAGCAAAATCTTTGCAGCCACGTTTTCCTAAAGGGATCTGAATGGTAAGAGGTGCTCAAGAATGCATTCTGTTTTACCGCCCTGGGCGAGAAAAGGGAGAATAAAACCCATCTGGCCAATATTTTCCCTTTCAAAATTAGAAGCAATGATCTAACCTGTTTTTAACACTCGTGTTACTTTGCTCAGCATGCACGGCGTTCCCACCGTGGTTCTGGTGGTTACTCCTCCAGCCAACTTGCTGCTCACCTTTGCATTAACCTCTTCCTCTTCTGCAGTCTGTTGGGTTTTCTCCTTGCAGTTTGAAGGAAGTGACCAAATGACATTGTTTCAGCCATCATTTCTTCCCAGGCTGTACAGCACCTCGCAGAGCAGCACCTGCATCTCGTACATCTAATTTAGACAGCTCTTTCATGCAGCTGAGCACTTAGGGTCGTGTCCTCCTTATGCAGGTCTACTGACTGGTTTGATTTTGTTCCTCTGCATCTGCCATAGAGTTTCTACGGGGCCCCATTCTTAATGTTTGTGTAGCTGTGAAGAACATAGCTTCCCATTCAGTATTTGCAGTGTTAAAGAACAAGTACACAGCGGATAGATAGGAAGAACTTGAGTTTGGGACTGTTGTCCCGTGTGCATTACTGCTTTCTAATGGGGTGAGATACAAATGGTTACTTTTTTCTGATCATAAATAAGCTGCAGATTGTCAGTTCTTACAGAGAAATGAGTGGTGTGGATCTGCACGGAGCAGCAGAAATGAATCGTTTTCTTCAGTTTGAAATAGTGCATGGAATTTTTAGTTATAAGGAGTTGGTACTGAAGGGACTGGCATTCTCCATTAACAAAACTCAGATGCCTCCAGTTTGAATTCAATTAAAAACAAGACATAAGCCTGTGGCATGTTTCTTTCTTTGCTTATGTACAAATCATTAAAAGAAGATCTTCACACCCTTTCGACTTCTTTGTGTTGAAGACTTTTGCCTTAAGGAGGGCCGGGTTTTGCATGCCCGTTGCTGAGCTCCAGTTGGTTGTAATGGTCCTGGAGTCTGAGGGATGGCAGCGGCTGAGGCAGGGATGCACCTCCTGGTTGGCCAACTGTGGCTTAGGAGCTGGGGCTGGGCAGCCAGGTGTGACACTGCTGGGTGCTGCTTGGTGGGTGGGAGCCGGCTGCTGAGCTCACTAACAAAAATCCACTGTGGCACGTGCTGTGCAGGGCAGAAAACTTCTCTCCTATTCCCCCCTTGTTCATATATCTACAAGTGATGTGAGTACTTCAGAGCTGTCTCCTGTGGCGTGCATTAAGCAGCACAACCAGTGGTGGTGATCCCGTGTAGATTGTTGGCTGTCTGCCTTATTCGGAAGTTGGATCAGAAAGGCTTTCATACCCCACTGCCAGCTGTACAGTGCAGGAGAACATGGCTGATAAGTCAGAGATGAGCCTTTAATCATGTACTTAAAATCCATTAAACAATTTATTAAGTCTGCACTTAAAACCTGTGCTTCTTGTGCATCCTTTGCAGGAGTTGGCAAAAAAAGCTTTGACAATAAATAAGCCTTGCACTCATCTTCCTGGTTTGATTTGAATTGGAATAGGTCAGCTTCAGGGTAACTCTTGGCAGGTAATCTTGTGTAATCAGGATTGCTTCCTCTTTGTCCTGTATTCGTTTTGTTCATTCTGAAGACCTGTGCCTTTGCAAGGTTTGAAGTGGCACTGTGCTCACCTTGAAGTGAAGGGGATCAAGAAGGAAAGAAGCAGCTCTGTTAGCTGAGAGCCCAGGAAATCTGACCCTGCTTCCAAAAGTGAGTCCGAAGGGTCTCAGGCCTCCCCATCCACCACCCTGCATTTCCTGCCATTGATGCACATGTGCACGTGAGTTTCCAGTAGCAAAGTGATTTTTGCCTCATTTCTCTGTACTTGATCATGTTCTGAAAGCAGTTCCTCCGACTTTAGAACAAAGCATTTTGCAGCCTACACTTTGAACCTCGTGGCGGGTAGAGCGATCCCCTGGGTTGTGTGCAGTAGTGCAATCCGTGCTGAGTGTGTCCAGAGCCTTTTGTGACAGCTATCACTAATTCCTGAATGTGAGCTGCTGTTTCAGGCCACCCAAAGCAGTCTCTGTAGATGGAACAGCCCGGTGTCACGTCTGAGATCAGATGTTTTGTTTTCTTGAATTCAGCACGATTTCGTTCGCCGAGATCGACCACCGAGAGTCCTCATAGACCTCATCCAAAGGACAAAAGATGCAGTACGAGAACTGGATAACCTTCAGTACAGGAAAATGAAGAAAATCCTTTTCCAAGAGACGCGGAACGGCCCTCTGACTGAGTCTCAAGAGGAGGAGGAGGTACTTTGGTTTCATTACCCTGTTTGCACCGTTCTCATAGATTTCAGGGCAAGTGAGATGTGTTCCTGTCTTCAAGGGGCAGAACGAGAGCATCCACAGCATGGATGTGATCCATCTAGTTGGAATACCAACTGAATACCAACTGAATCAGCAGGGCTAGGATAGGACGATGAGCATTGCCAGCCGTTGCTCTGCCTTAGATGTGCACTTACTGGCAAAACAACTTTGGCTTTTTTAGACAGTTGCCTTTCTTCTGGAAACTTTGGGAAAGAAACTCATTTGGAGGGAGATCCTCTGTGATGAAAAAATAACCCACAGGCTGTGCAACGGAGAGCCTAGTGATGGTCTGAGCTTTTCATTCTCACAGCAAAATCAAGACTGCCTGATTAATGTTAATTTTTATTTTCAATTACCGTGGGCTCATTACTTTACAGTAAATTTATCATGAGCTGAAAAGCAAATCGCCAAATTAGTGAGACTTATTTTTTTTTAATTCTTTAATATTAAAGAAAGATTAGAGATAAAATTCAGCTGCAGTTGAAATCTTGTAATAAACCACCCACTTCATCAGTGTGTGATAATTGACAGTAACTGTGGCTTAGAGAGGGAAACCAGTCATTTTTCAATTGATGAGATTAGGTGGAAATTAATGTCATTTGGTGTAGGCACTTGGCTAAATAAATCCGTGCCTGGTTCTCAAGCAGAAAAATCATAAGGAAATTGTTATATATTCCTTTTTCTTGCATTGTAGCAAGATCACGTGCAGTGAGATGCCAAAGTCTAACATATATTTGGGGACTTGGCTTTGAGGCTTGCATATGTCGAATACTCTTTTAAAACTAGTCTGATGCTTTGGTTTAAGCAGTGGGCAAGCCTGGGTGTCAAGTAGGAGAGTATAGAGGAAGAAGAGACTGATGCTTATATTGTCCTTCACTCTGGGGAAGGGGCAGCAGCAGATCCAAGCTCCACAGCTGAGGTGTGCTAGCACTGATTGAGATGCATCTTCCTCTGTTCTTCCTGTTCTCGTTCCTAAGGATAGAAAAGTGTGTCTCCAGGACCTAACACTTCTGATGAAGCTCACATCTGCATGTGCACAGCATGCTCTGCACTGTTTTTACCACTGAGCTTGCATACCACCAAAGGAGGTCATGTTGCACGCACAGCAAGAGCAATGACTGAAGTAAAACACAGCACTTGCTTCAGTTTCTAAACTGGATAACAGAAGCTGAGAATGCCACAAGATGCTTCCTCTTTCTGCCCTAGAGTTTCTCAGTGCAAGGCATATTGCAAATCCCCTTTGTAACACTCCCAATAATACTAATGCTTTCCTCAGACCTTTTGCAAGGAAGTTGAGATTACCTGGAAAGTATTCAAGTCAGGAAGTCAGTGCTGAGGTTGCATATGCAATCTCATCTCTGCCCTTCTGTTTGTTAGTGTTTAGTATTATTTATTAGTACTAGTACTATATGTGTTTATTAGTGAGACACATTCCCATGTTAGATGTTATTTCTGTGGCAACTTGGTGTGAACATCCTGGAAATGTTTTCGTTTTCCTGTGTATTTTGGCTGCTGCTTTTATACAGGCTCTGAATGAACTGCTAATTGCTTAAAAATAATCACACAATCAAATACAAATCTGCCAAACTTCTTTCTTGCAGTTTCCAACAAAATGAGTTCGCTGTCAATTGATTTGAAGCGCGATTCTCCCCAAGCTCCCTTTGGAGGCGAGAGGCAGCAGGGTGCAGCGCAGCCACTCGTGTGGGTGAATCAGAGCTGTCTGAGAGCAGGAGCTGGAGGCTCTGCAGAGCTCCCAGTCCTCACTGTGAGCTCCTTGCAAGCATCTTCAGTCTCGTTAGTTTATTACAACAGACTCTATAATTGTCTGAGTCAGTCCAGATTAAGCTCATGCTCTGGGATTACTGAGCTCATACAAAACCGAGAGAAGAAGATGCTACTTTCTGATGTTCCAGTGTAGAAGGAAAAACATGTCCTGTGTGAGGAATAATTATTTAAGTATGCTTAAGCAGATTACAATAGCTTTAATCACTATAATAATGCAGATTCTTCCGAGTCAGGTGTTTAAAGGTGAATGAAGATTACATAAAAATTTATCTTGGCTGAAAACGCAGGATAGGAGGCTTTATTAGCTGGAAAGAATAGAATTGCTGACTGTTAAGGACACAGAGGTTAAAACCACCAACCTATGAAGCACCCTGAGCTAGTTACCTCATCATAACTGGTGGATTCGTCATCCGACATCTCTTCTGACTCACCAGATGTGATGTAGCATGCCCAAACTCAGAATGTTGTTTCAATGCAAACTTAAAAGTTTGTTCCTTCCTCAGCTGCAGGACTCCTTTCACCACCAATCCGCTATTCCAGGGTGTGTCCCATTCAAAGCAGAGCCCTGCCCAGACCTGCTGAGATGTGGAAAAAGCTGGCCTGGCCCCTGATGTGTGAGGATTGCAAGGGAAGAAGCAAAAGCTGACTGCCCTTTGTGCATTATTTCATAACCCATGCAGTTCTGAGAAGGGGAGCTGCCAAAATACTGTGCAAAAAGTCTTTAACTCAGCAGAGTTGCCTTTAAAACCAACCTTGGGCGCTGCAGTCACCTGTTGGGCAGGCGATCATCTGCAGTGTTTGTAACCGATGCCCCTTGTTTTGTAGGACAGTGAGCATGGATCAAACCTGAGTAGGAAGATGGACAGTCTGGGCAGCAACCATTCCATCCCAAGCATGTCTGTGAGCACAGGCAGTCAGAGCAGCAGTGTGAGCAGCATGCAGGAGGTCCTGGATGAAAGCAGCCCTGAACTGGTCATGATGCATAGTGACGAGAGCACAATTAATTCCACTTCCTCCGTTGTTCAGAAGAAGGTATGTCCTCTAGTGCTCTCCATAGCTTCCTGCGGTCCCTGCTATCGCTCACATTGGCTCTCCTGCATAGGGCCCCATGAGCAGTGTGCTGTGGTCTTGTGCTGAGCCATCTGCTGAGAGCAGGAGCTGGTGCTGGGCTTGCCAGAGTCAAGTTCTGTGTTTGTTCTGTAACGGCTGAGCTGTACGTAGAGGAGCTGCAAATAAAGAGACTGCTAACGAAGGGTAGTGCTGTCAGTGGCTAGGCAGGGCTCCTGCAGACTTACTGCATGCCTCCTCACCCAGCCCTGCATGTGCACCCCTTCATCTCTGCTTTGTGACATCAGTCCTCGTTTCCTTGTGTATGACTGTACTGTGTTATATGGGATGGTGACAAGTGGTCACAGCAGCTGAGCTAACCGTTTACCAGTCACAGTGTATGATTAAAATCTGCTTGCACTTGGATTTCCCTCATGAGAAGTGGAAGTGTGCAGAACATTGGACCCTTCCCACGAGGTATGTTATGAGTCAAATTCCACTCTATGCTTTTCTGCTCTTTTGCTGCATGTTGTGATCCGTTGCCTTTTTGTTTTCTTAGTGCTAGATAGCAGACTGAAGTTGTCCTGCCCTATCTAACTCAGCATCTAATCTGATATTGGCCAAACTGAAATTATTTTGGCCACAGTAGTGTTGTTTACTAGTGGGCAGTCAGATGTAGGTTTTGTGTGATGTCTTTTTCAAAGAGTTTGCAATGCATTTATGTGCTTTTTGCCAACAGAGCTGAAGCATTACAGCAGCACTGAGAGCATGAATTTCTCCTTTGTAGCGTTACGACAAAGCCTAGTTTTAACTAAGTGTTTTGTAGGCAAGTTCCTTCCTCCTGAAATGCAATATTTGTGTGATTGAACATGGAAGCGTTTGTAAAAGGAAGCTCTCAAGTCATTTTGTCTCCAACAAAAGGTTGCCTTATACATTTAGGTATACTGGAAGATAAGTTGGGTTTGTTTCAGGGGGTTACATTTGCAATGGCACCTTTAAGAAGATAGGTATGAAAAGCCACTCCAGGGAGCCTTCATGAGTGAAGAGTGGCCTAACTAATTTTCTGTTCTGGGGGATTCTAGTTAAAGCTTTTCTTCATTTTCTGTACATTTCAGGAATGTGTATTTTGATTTCACGTTGCCAAGTGGTTGTTTTTATGTATGTGTTAAAACAGAGAGATTTGAGAGATTGATTTGCACAATAATAGGTTGTAATATTACTGATGGATTGGTGTCATTGCAGCTGATGAAAACAAAGTGTGAACCACTTCCATCAGATCTAAATTGCTTGTGTTAAAGGAGCACAGTGCTGTTGGCTTTAATATGGTTATTTCATTTTGTACTGAAAGGGAGGGAGCATCCTCTCAGTCCCATTGCACACTGTACATAGGACTTGCACTGTGAACAAACACAATTTCAACACCAGCTGGGTGTTTTGTTGCATGGTATGGAAAAACAGGATTGCTTACATACCTTTCAGGGAAGGAGTATGAAAGAACTCACCTGTGGGTCACCTCCAGCTTATGTTTTAGGGAAATTTCAGAAGCACAAACATCAGAGCTTTGCTGATGGTCCTTATGAAGCAGTTAACAACGGGCACCTTGCACAGGTGCAGATGTCAACACAGTTGGCAGATGTTACCTTCTGCTGTACACGTGCATTAAGTGCATTTGGAATATGTGTGGCAGGACGTTACCACGCTGAAAATACAGTTTTAATTGAATATATGCCTTTTTTAGATTACCTTACCTTGAGGAATGCAACTTTAAATGAAAAACTGCTTTGTCTGTGCATTATGTATATAGTAATACCTGTGTAAATACTATAATTGCAACAGGGCATTTGCTGGGGGCTTACACACACGTACATCCCATTCTGTTTTCAAGGTAGAATTCCTTATTTGGGGAAAAACCCCTTCAATCTGTACTTGCTCTAACTACTTCTGTAACCTGGTGAGTGGATGCACACACATTGTGTTTTGTTCTACCAGGTGAGAAGCAGGGGTGCTGAGTTCAGTTACACTCCCAGAGCCTTACCTCAAACAAAATCCAGAGAACCGGGGGGGCTCAAGCTTAAATTAAGTTTTTGGTTTGCATTTAACCAGCCTTTAAAGGCTAAAAAAGAAAATACAGATGAACACGATTAGCCAGCTGTCTGCCTTACGGGGGCATGGGGTCATGTGCTGGATTGTTTTGACATGGGTCAAATCAGGATGCTGGGTAAAATTATGGTGTTCCACAAATGTGTTAATTAACGACCTCCAGATGTACCAGACTGTGTGCACATGCCCACAATGGCTGCATTGCCTGAGCTGTTTGCGTGGCTCAGAGCTCAAAGTGTCAGAGGCCTTTGGATTTCATTGCACCACAGCCCCAGCGTGTTCAGGTGAGACCCACTAACTATATGGCAGCTCTGGGTAGCCAAGATGCCACTGTGCACCAAGCAGTTCCCGAGCATTTGGGATGGATCCTCCATGAGAAGAGGACACATCCTCCCTCCTTCCACCAGGCAGAACCTTTGGGGCAGCGCTTTGCTCTCTGCCTTTCTGAGCTTCTGCTTGGAACCAAGGTTGCTCCTATTTGTCAGCAGAGTGAAACCCATAGATTGGAGGAAAAATGACTTGGAAAGAAGAAAATAATGACAGCCATCCCTAACTGACCGTGTCACTCTTTATGTCATTGAGTTTGTAGTTGTATCCTAAATTGCTGGGGGGGAAAAAAAAATTCTGTTAATGTCTGCGAGTTGTGCTGCAAGTCCTGCATCCTCCCTTTCTGGGATCTTTGGCCTTCCTTGGAATCCAAGGCTTTCCTCAGAAGTGTCCCCTCATCAAAGCAGTTTCTATATAGGATTTTCAGATATCCAGCTGGGATGGGCTGTTTTACTAGGAGCATTGCAGGCAGTGGTGACCCTGTGTGTACCTTCTGGTCATGCAGGTCAGGGACACAGAGCCTCTTGATGCTTAAACCTCTCTGCAGATGATTGAGGCGTTTAGTACCATGTATTAAAATGAACGATGGCGCTCCTTTGAATCCTTAGAAGTTAAGGATTTGCTGCAGCTGTATGTAGAGCTCTGCAGTTGTGTGCAAGTCCTTTCTGTGGCTCAGAAATTCCCTCTCCTGTTTGCCTAGGAGATTGGAAGTCCTCCTCAAGTGGAGGTTCCTCGTGTACAAAGCCTTTGTGAAGATATCTGTGGTGTGCAGAACTGAAGGTGCAACACACAGTCCTGGGGTGCAAGTTTGGTTGTTTCTGCTTCAGGCTGTTCTGATGTGATCAGTTTGATGTTGGGGAGGTTATTTCTGAATCAGCTGTGAAGACAGTGGGACTCCTTTCTCTGTGTTTTGCACTCATGTTGGATGCTTTGCCGGAGCAAGAGCTTCAACGCAGTTCTATACTGAAAGGAATGTAAACACCAAATGCAATTTATAGATCTGTCTCCCCAGTTTTGTTGTGATTAAAATCTGAGGCAAAATTCTCATTGATTCATCAGTAGGGAAAAAATCAACTCCAATGTACCTACTGAGTTTTCTATTTGCTTCTGTAGCTTGCTTGTTCTGAGCAAGTGTTCTGTTCACAGAGGAGGCTTCATTACAGAAATGGTTCTGTTCTCATGGAATCACTGAATCACAGAACTTTTTGAGGTGGAAGGGGCCCTTAAAGGCCATCTAATCCAACTCCCCTGCAGTGCACAGGGACACCCACAGCTGATCAGGTGCTCAGAGCCCCATCCAACTCGCCTTGGGTGTCTGCAGGGACAGGGCACCGTGGTGTCACTCAAAACAACCTACATCTTGAAGCAAACACAAATGATCTGGTCGGTGTAATTAGAAGGGGCCTACTCAGAACGTCCATAACACAACTTGAAAGCAAAAGCCGTGGCAGGTGAGTTAGGTAGATGTTCTGGTGTAGGGGCAGAACTGTAAAAACTGCTGTTCTGTGAGGAAGATGAAAAAGATGTCTTATGGTGGAACCAGCATGGGGCTCTGGAGGTAAAATTGAGGTTCCCACTCCAGGGACTGACCATCTGGGTTTGAGCAGTGATTTGCTGCTTTCTTGGTTGAAATCTTCGCATTCACCCTAGCATGTTAATGTAATGGAGAGAAGGGAGACAGCTGAGCAATATATGCTATAGGAGACCTTAGGAACCTGTGTTGCTTCAGACGTGGATGTATAACCATGAGTAAGATTTGCCCTGTTGCCACCTCAGTTCTGTGGCTCTAGTAGAGCTCTTGTAGCTCTTGTGTTCTTAGAATCATAGAACTAAGGTTAGAAAAGACCGTTAAGATCTTGCCCAACCTTCTGCATCTCTTCAGTCCTTTGTGGTTAAGACATCTAAATCTTGTACAGAATCTTTAGGACAAGATTTTTATTTAGCTTTATTGAGCATACAGGTAACTCCAGTGTCAGTTTGCAGTTGCCCTTTGCCTTGGCCTGCTTCAGAACCGTGTGTGCACATGAAGCAATGCTTGCAGGAGCCCTGAGAGCCCTGGGTCAGCCAGGTCCATCCCTGCAGGGCTCAGCTGAACTGCTGGGGCTGCAGGCTCCCAACATGGCAGCAGGAATATCAAACCAAGAGGTGATAGCAGCCAGTCAGCCTCAAATACAGTCCTGGGATTGTGTTTCAGTCCTTACACCTTCTTGCTAGAAGAGATTGTGGCAGAGCTGTAGGAGCCTGTGGCATTGGTACCCTTCCAGTGAACCCATGAGTCTGAACTGAGTGATGCTGTTGAAGTATAAATGTTTAATTGCTGCTTTTTTTGGTGTGACTGTAACAGTCTCGGACTTAGCTTCCTCATCACAACGTGGAAGCACCCTCGCTGTCATTTTGAACTTGCAGAGATTGAAAATCTAAGATCTGCCCCATTGCCAGTAATGGAACTTCTGTAACGCTGTCTCCTCCTGCTGAGGATGTGCAACAAAAAGCCCCGTGTAAGGATAACAACAGAAATTGCAACTGCCCTCTGCATCGATTCACTAGTGCTATGGAAGGGATGTCCCTGTAGCTAGAAGGGCTGCTATAGCTGTGGTGCAGTGGTGGTCTCAGCCATTGCTCTCCACGCCAAGGCAAGGGAAGGTTGTGTGGGGCTCAAAGTGAAGGGCTGGAGAAAAGGAGTCTGTTTTAAACATTTAAAATCAATGTGTGGTTTGGTTCTTTACATCAGCGCTTCTCTACCTGTTGGCTTTTTGCTGGAAAGCATATATATACAGTGATAGGGTGGGAGGTGATGGCCTCAAGTTGCACCAGGGGAGGGGCAGGGTGGATGTTAGGAACAATTTCTTCTCTGAGAGTGGTGATGCGTTGGCACAGGTTGCCCAGGGAGTTGGAGGTCACCGTCCCTGGAGGTGTTCAAGGAAAGGACAGCTATTGCACTGAGTGACGTGGCCTAGAGCAATGACAGGCATGGGTTGGGGTTGGACCTTAGTGATCTTTCCAACCTTAACAGTTCTATGATCCTACGAAAGCGGTTGAATTTGTGCCGGTCCAATCTAGGAGTGGCAGAGCACCAGGGAAAGAAACCTCTGGTGTGGGAGAGAAGTGCCATGGGGAAACTGCCACTGTGCATGGGCTGCTTGGTGGTGGTACGGCGGGCAGCAGAGATGTGTGGTCGCCCACAGACACCTGCACAACGCACGGGTCATTGCTGTGCTCCATGCAGAGGATACATGCCTCTACTGTAGGGCTGTAGAAGTGGGCAGCGCCTTCCTTTGCACCCATGGCAGCTAGAAACCTGATTGTCATTCAGGAAGACCCCCAAGTTGGTCATGGCCATACCGAGCCTGTGCTGGTGACCCAGCTGGTGCTGGTAGCTGTGGGCACATCCTGCAGGCACAAGGGCTGCTGGCTGCCACCTTTCTGTGTTCGTGGCTGTTTGCCAGCAAGCCAAGGGGGAAGCTGCACGGGAAAAGCATTTGTGCTAAAACCTGTGAGCTGTTGCTTTAAAGGGGGGGAAAAAGGAGAGAAAAAAAAAAAAAAAAAAAGAAAAAAAAAAAATTAGAAGGGAAAAAAAAAAAAAATCCTTTGTGGGCTGTGGAGAGAAAGTGCTAGAAGCGTGCGGGATCATGACTGGAAAGCAGGATCCCTGAGTGGCGGCGGGGCCGGCAGCGCGGCCGGGATGCGGGAGCAGGCAGCGGGCGCGGGACACAGCCCCGAGCTGCCGGGGGAATGAATGAATGAGGCGGCCGAGAGCCATCGAGATGGGAGTCACGTTTCTCCAGGGATCGCTGGGCTGCGGTGCTTTCGGCCAAGCTTTTTGAAGAGCTCCGGTCACTCGGCAGCGCTTCTTCTTTTTTTTTAATATATGTAATGCTGGAGGTTTAAAAAAAAAAAAAAAAAAAGCACCAAAAAAAAAAAAAAAAATCCCTGGCAGGGATTGAGGAGGCATCCCGCTAGCGATCAGCTGACACGGCGAGCCGGAGCTGCAATGTGTTGCTTATTCATTTCGTACCGTGGGAGCTGCAGGGGCTAGCAGAGAGCTAAACTATGCATTTCAAACAGCCGTGCTTGTGCAGAGAGAGGGCTGAGAGAGAGGCAGCCGCCGAGGAAAGAGCACAGCTGGACTTTCTCCTTGTTTTTATCCATTTCTGCAGGATCATGTATTTATAAGGGATGAGGTGGGCCACAGGGATCGCAGGCCTGAGGTGCGGCCTACCCAGTCGGTGCAGAATCAGGCCCTCCACTACCGGAACCGAGAGCGCTTTGCCACGATCAAATCAGCATCTTTGGTAAGCAGCCCCTTCCTCTGCTCCACTGCATCTCCCTGTCTCTCCGGGAAGGGGTCAAGAATCCTTTTTCTTCTTCTTATTCTTGTTTTTTGTTTTTCCTCTCTTTAATTTTTATTTCTTTTTTTTTTTTTTTTTTCCTTTCTGTTGGCATAGCAACTCGGTGCTGCACCGGGTGGTGTTCTGGCTGTGTGTGTGAATGGGGAAGTGTCGAATGCATGGAATGCCTGTGCTTTCACGCTGCATATCTTTTCAGCAGATGTGGAATCAGCCACGTTTGTGGGTGAAGCTCACATCGTCTCAGGTTATTTTTCCCTTTTTCCCACCCGTCTCCTTTGTTAGAGCCGTTCATGTTAACAAATGTGCTTATTTGCATGTGCACAAACCGCGGCTGGGTGTGCTTGCGTGGAATACGTTTGGATGCCGTGGAAATGCAGATGGGTTGGGAACAATAAGATTGCCGTTTGCAGGGCGAGCTGCTGAAATATATTTTTTCTTCCTCATTCATTCATTCATTCATTTATCTGAGGCAGCAGCGCGGTGACCGCATCTCGCGGGCAGCATCGCCGGGCTGCAGCAGCTTACAAAGAGCAGGGGGATGGGGCGAACCCAGATTTGTACTATTGCAAATGGGATTTCTGTGGACGCCTTTGTAGTAGCGAGAGGGGTGTGTGCTGCCGGAGTTACAGCCGCGCCTCCCGCCCGGCCCCGCACGGCTGCGGGCACCGGAGGGCTCACGGGTGGGAGAGAGGGGCAGGGAGAGGGCTGGGAGGCACAGGGACACGGAGTGGGACGTGTTGCAGCCCCACGGCGTTGGAGGTCACATGGATGGAGCTCTGGGAAGTGCCGCCGCTCGGCCTGGCACTTGCTGGGTGTTATGACATCATCCCGGACCAACCCGAAATTACAACAGCCAGCCCTCCCCTTCTGCCTTCGCCCCGGCTGAATGGTTTTTTCTCCCTTCAGCACCACCATTTCTTGTTTCCCCCCCTGCACAGCTCCCAGTCTCTCTGTGTGCAGGAGGCAGCGGTGTGTCTGCGGCCACAGCTGGAGCCTCTCAACCGAGAGAAACAGCAGCGGCCACATTTTTTTTTTCTGTACGGTGGTTGCTGCCGTTGTTACAACCCACAGTGACGCCGTGGCTGTCAGACCCGCCACCAGACGCTTTGCAGACTGAAATCTGGGGCAGGGCATCCGAGTTCCATCTTCTGCAGGGACATTCCTGTAACGGCACCCGAGTGCTCCCTGGGGCTGAGCGCCTGCTCCCCCCGCTGCTCTCCTCCCCCTTACCAAAGGAGTGACCTAGAAATGTGAGGGATGGAGGTTCACGCTGCACACCTGCCACATGTGGCAGCTCTGCTCTCCTGCAGACCTTGCAGGCCTTGCACATTTGTATTTCATGTGTGCACACAGCACGGTGCCGACACCATTGCGTGTAGGAGACAGTTATATTGGCAGGAAGGAAGAAACCATCAATGTCTCGAGCATCATCATCCAAACAGATACCTGGTGTGATGGGCAGATGGGTGTGTGTGTTGAACACGTGTGTGATCTCTTACTCCACATGTGTCCTGCAGAGTCCATAAGTCCTCTCTTCCTCAAATGTGTCATCCCTGGACTATCCGGGTGGCTCCCAATGGCAAAGTGTTGCTGGGAGCTGGTGGCAGATGTTGGCACAAGAATACAGGCTGTGAGGTCCTTCCAGTCCTCAGAGCTCTGGGGAAGGCAGCAGTGCCCCAAGGCAGCTCCTTGTTCCCCATGGCAGCCTTTTGTGGGGCTGCAGCTCACCTGGTCACTTGGCTGCCTTAAATCCCTCTGCTTCACTCACCAAATGACTATTAGGATGAAACTAATAGTGGGTGAAAAAGGTGCTGAGCTTTCTGGGCAGCTGTTCTTCGTCTGGTTTTCTGTGGAATGCACTCAGTGTGGCTTGCAGTGCTGCACTGAAGTGAACTCCATGCACAGCATCCTCTGGGACATGGGGCAGTCCTGCTGTCAGCTGGCTGTTATCCTCAGGCTGATGGAGCAGCAAGTGGCTCTGTGTGTCATGTGAAGCTTTGTTGTCCCCATCACATGTGTACCTGCCCCCTTCCCAGCACTGAGAGAGCTTCCCCAAACCATCACTGGCTATTACGGGGTTATTACCATGTCCTTAGGTTGCATGGTGTGGGTGTAATTTCATCATGCTTGCAGCAGAAATGTCTCACTTAATTTCAACGTGTGTAGAGCTGGGCTTTCCATTTTTACCTCTGTGTGCTCCAAAATGGAAACCTAGAAGAAATTCCAAGTTGAAACCAATGCCCCAGAACATGAAGAGTGCCTGTACAGGTGCTGGGTTTTGAGGTGCTGCTGTGGCTGCCAATGCACCACACTCTTGTCTTTATCTCTGTGTGTTACCTCTGGATGGAGGGGGCCAGTGGGTGGCCCAGCGTTGGTACTGCTTTGGCCAAGAGAAAACTGTCACACCTGCCCCTTGTCTCCTTCTTCATTATCTGTGGGCAACATTTTATATAAAAAATCAAGGGAGCCAGCATGCTTTGGTAGTTTCCTCATTGCTGCTGACGGTCAGTTGGCTCCTCAGCAGTTTAACACTGCTTTTTGGGCGCTGAGAGGCACATAGCCTCCACTGCAGAGAATCAGGAGCATCAGAAAATGGGAGTTTTGAGCCCAAACTCACTGTAGCAGGGTGCTATTTGGGTGTAAAAACATTGCTGACCAGCACCTCAAACAGGAGAGGAGGGCAGCACTGCAGGAGGAAGGAAAGCAGTGAACCCAGGGCTGCTGGGCTGTGCCTGTGGGCAGACCCACACTCCCATGGCACCCATAGGTCAGGCTGTGGATGTACCTTTTATACCTTTCCAGACTGTCACTGGTGCTTTGATATTACTTGCATATAATGTATGCATATAAAAATTACTTAAAATAATAATAAATAAATGAAAAGGACAAACAGGGTTCAGAAAGCTGAAGGAGTGCTCCTGCCTTTTGAAACAAACTCTTACCTTTGTGCTGAATTCAGGCAGCAGTTTTAATAGTCACTCAGGACCATCTTCCTCCTCGGTCACTGCAAATGCCGATCTCAGCCTTGAAGCTGGGAAAGCTGTGTTGAAAAAGAAGGCTGGGTGTTCTGCATGCTGATAAGACTGCACATCAACATCTTCCAGTGAAAGGTGTATTTTTAAATACGTGCAGCGAGGCACTGATTTGCATTTCTGGGTCATGCTTGACCCTTTAACTCTCTATCACTTCTTGCATTTCCTCGATAGCTGCTGTCGTAGCTTTCAGATGAATCAAGTGAAATGATGTAACAGTGGGGATGCTGTCGGAGGCCTTGGCATTCTCTTCGAAATGGAAATGCCAGCAGAAGTGTTCCGTGATCTCATCCTGAGTCTGTGAAGCCAAATGCCTGGGTACATGGGAGCAGCCTCTGGATGTGACCATCCAAGTGCACCGACTCCTGGTGCATTTACACAGTGCCTGTTGTCTTCAACCTTCTTCTGCTGCACAGTGACGTTTTACTCCAGGTGTTGGATTTCTCATCAGCTCATCTGGCTGCTGTCTATTGAGGTCTTTGCCCCAAAATGCTGAGCTTGTTTTTTTCTCATCTCAAAGTTCTCAGTGGGAGAAGGGCTGCTGGTGGTTGGCATTTTGCTCAGTCCTCTGCCTCCGTCCAGCAAGGAAGACACGGTGTTTCGAGAGGTGAAAATACTTCTTTTTAGGAGAAAACTCGGTGTCTCATCTGAGCAATGCGATGAGATGAAGAAGGATCTCTAAAGAAGTGCCATTTTGGAGGAGTTGTGAGCCCAGCTTCCTTACGTAAAGCTGAAAATCTTGGAGAGTGAATAAGAGTAACTTTGGATTTTATGTGATGAGTGAACTGTGTGTGAGAGTAGGTTGAAGAAGGCATCTGTCTGTCTCAGTTCTGTGTATGCCAAGGATGCAGAGAGATAAGAAACTGAGAAAATGTCACACCTTAATGGAAGCTGCTCTGTTTTATGCAGAGCTTTGGTTCTGCTGATGACCGGACTGATTGCGCCGTGCTTTGAGTGGGGCTTCAGGAAACCACAGTTTTCTGCTTTAAAGAGTGCTGACATTTTCTGGCTAGGTAAAGAACAAACTTGGTGATAAGCATTTCCTGTGTCATCTTTTTTCCCATCACAACCTATGGAGCTACTTTTACGAAATACTTTATAACTGATTTTCAGCTCTGTGTTTCTTAGACTCTTGCAGTCTGCTTTGGCACTGAGCATTCCCATGGCTGCAGGCAGTGCCCATCCAGGCACATCCTTGGCTCCTGCCTGGGGGTCGCCACGTGTGCCAGGCCCCAGCCAAGCCTGCTTACTGGAAGTCTTACCTTAGAATTGCTCAGGTTGGAAAAGCCTTTAAAGATCATCAAGTCCAACCATGATCTGACCACACGACCCTAACTCTAACAACCCTCCGCTAAATCACATCCCTGAGCACCACATCCGAACAGTTTTTAAACACATCCAGGCTGGTGACTCAACCACCTGCCTTGGGAGCCTATTCCAGTGCTTAACAAGCCCTTCTGTAAAGAAGTTTTTCCTGATATCCAACCTAAGCTTACCTTGCTTAACATAGCAAACAGCATACATGTGAAATGCTGGATTCTTGTCTACATGTTGGCTACATCTGTCTCTTATCATTAGCAGGTCTGATTTCTTAGAGAAGCTCTACTCCAGTTTCATGTGTTTAGTCCAGCCAATTTGAAAATAACATCCCCAAATTCCTTGGGGAGGATACGATCTGTGCATCAGTACTTCCTGTGGTTGATGTTTGGCTTTGCCAGTGTGGTGCTGGAGTGCAGTATGGCACAGGGCTCGTTCTGTGTTTTCTGTGCACAGATGTTTGCTTTCTCTCTACAGTTGCCTTTATCACAGAATGGCTTGGATTGGAAGGGACCTCAAGGATCATCAAGCTCCAACCTGCTTTAGGAAGGGTGCAGGGGAAACAGGCCTTCCGTTTCCTTGGCTCAGTCCTCTCATGACTTGTTTCTGCTCTGGGACTGGCCATTATTGTCTTGGATGGCGACTCCTTGCTGTAAATTGCTGTCAATTCATTTGAGGGTAAAGGCCATGCAAGGCTCTTCCTGACCTCTTCACACTCCTCCCTGGTGTTGGTGACACGGTGGTGGTGCTGCTGAACTCGCTGGTTGATGTCAGAGCTTAACAACCGCTGCAGTTACAGTCCTGCAGAACTGCTTGGTTGGCTCTCAGGAAAGCAGCTGCTCTCCTTCCGTTGGCTTCACCCTTCTCAGGTCTGTGTGTACATCCCATCCCAGGCCTGAACTTATCTTAAAGATCTCTGGAAAATGACCTTCAAATGACAGCAGTGCTGTGGTAGGTGCCAGTTCTTCCTCTTGGCTGCCTATGGAGAAATTCTCCAGGAAGGCTGCACTCCTGCAGGCTGCAGGAAGGGCTGTTGGTTCATAAGGCTCCAATAGGGCTGAACTCTGCTGCTTTGGGTCCGGTGTGAAGGAGACATCCCCTCTTACTTACCTCTACCTGTATGCTGAGAGGGTTTTGGGGTTGTCCTATAAAAGATGAGCAGATCATTACACGTGAAGTTTCTGAGTCTGTATTCTCAATTTAAAAAAAAAAATCAATCTTGGACACTTTTCATCTTTTAAAATGGAAGCATTACCACCCGTGTTTTCTTCTGAAAAATTTTGGCTCGACTTCCTGGGGTTTTTTTTCTGCCTTTCACAGGGATGCACTTAGGCATGGAAATGAATGTGGAACTTGTGAGTTTGTTTCAGCTGAGCGGGGTTTAAAATCTGCTTAGACCATCTGATCAATCTTGTCAAGAGCACACAGTTCCAGAACAGCGTTCCCTTGTTAGAAAACTTTCAATTCTGGTAGGGAATGAGCTCAGTCTTGAATTTTAAGAAGCAATTTTGAAGGAGGTGGCTCATAGCAGGAAATAGGTGTTGAGGGACCGTGCGGGGAGCTTCCAAGGATGGGGGCGAGTTCCTTAAAGCAGCGCCATCTTGTAAGTCCACGTAACCTTTGGGATTTGAAGCCTGTCTCCAAGGAAGGTTGTACAGCAGGCACCTTTGTTTGCAGACCTCCTCCAGTATTGCCCACAGTGATGTGCAACCTGTTTTCTTTCTTCCGAAAGTGGTGTTTTCGGCTGTGGCAGTGGAGATGCCACATAGAGTGCTTGGGAAGGTGGGGGAGGATTGAGGAGGGAGAAACCTTTTGACCCGAGTTGTAGAGTTAGAAACCAGCACCCTTTGAAACCTGGAGCGGCGCTCCCTGCAAGTCGACCTCCAAGTGTTGACGTGCAGCAAAGCGCGGGGTTCTTAACAGGTAAGCAGTTCATGAGGAGGCGGTCAAGAAGGGCCACGTAGCATTTCTTTCCCTTTTGCTGACCTCAGGTTACAAGGCAGATCCATGAGCATGAGCAGGAGAACGAGTTGCGGGAACAGATGTCAGGATATAAGCGGATGCGGCGCCAGCACCAGAAGCAGCTGATCGCCCTGGAAAACAAGTTGAAGGCCGAGATGGACGAGCACCGCCTCAAGCTGCAGAAGGAGGTGGAGACACATGCCAACAACTCGTCCATTGAGCTGGAGAAGCTGGCCAAGAAGCAAGTGGCTGTGATGGAGAAGGAGGTGAGTGCCGACGCGGGCTCCCCGGGCGGGTGAGGTGAGTGAGAAGGGCATACAGCTCTGAAGGGAAAGGCAGTGGAAGTAGTGCTTGAAACCCATGTTTGTGAGCAGCTGGTATGGTTGCTGTCTGGAGCTGCCTTGGTCAGTTACTGGAACAGCTTCACAGCCACACATGGAGTGCTGGTGGACGGCATTGGCATCAAGCAGTGATGACTGCTGGCTGGGGGACACCTGTGGGCACCTGGCAGGGGGTTCTTCTAGTGGCTGTGGCAGCTGCAAAGCTGTAACCTGGCAGCCTGCTGTCAGTCTGTATAAAGTCAACCCGTTATTCCGTATAGTTGTGGACTTTGACCCTCTGAGGTGGCTCTGGTGGAGAGAAAAGAAAGGAAGGCTCTTAAATGTGTGTGGGCATTCTGTTTTCTTATTTACGTGGAAGCAGATTTCATTTGGCCAAATATTCGTGGCTTTGTCTTACATGTGATGGGAGAATGACAGACAGAAAACTGATTTGTGCTGGATTCTGGATTCAGTGCTTGCACCTTCACCCCTATTTTTTTTCTCTTTCTCTGTGCCTTGCAGGCAAAGACAGCTGCAGCAGATGAAAAGAAATTCCAGCAACAGATTTTGGCTCAGCAAAAGAAAGACCTGGCGACCTTTTTAGAAAGTCAGAAGAAACAATACAAGCTTTGCAAGGAAAAGATTAAAGAGGCAAGCTGCTGTCATTTTCAGGGCTGAAGGGGTGTGGAATGAACATGAACTAGACTTTCCTTTTGATTAACCTGGGCCAGCCCAGGGGTTTAGGATGCCATCATACATGGAAGCAAATTTAGACTCCTAGCAAGTAAACTGTCAGGAGCTGGGGTCATCTGGCAGCATTTCTAGAATAATCTTGAAGCATGCTGGAGGAGCCTGCATGATATGTCATGGAGTGGAATCTCTGAAGCTCAGGATTATGAGGGGAAACAGCAATTCACAGAGAATTCTTCTTTCTTTTCCTCATCTGTTTTCCCCACAGAGAGTAAGCAATCGGAGCAGTGATCTAGATGTCACTTGAATAAAAGCCTTGGGATTATTTACATGAACTGGAGAAAAAGACATCAGTAACTTAGTGTTTAGCCAGTGGCTGTCACAAACTGTCCCCAGCAAAATCATTTGTAGTTAAGAAGGTAGGGGGGACAAAGGGGATAGCAATTGATTCAACAGATTTAAGCTTCAGTCCCATTGAAATGAGGGAAACTTAAGTCCAGGCTGGACTCCTTTGTAAAGCTGGTACAGGGAGCCAAGGATTCAGATTCCTTTCCTGGACAGACAGACCTCCCCTGCAGTTGTGTTTTCTGCATTCTCATTGCTGCACTGTGCAGACCTTAAGCTGTTTGTTCTTACTGGGCATTTTTCCCTGCTCCTCTTGGAGGTAGCAGTGCAGCTCTAGAGGTGGCAGGGATGGCAGAGCTGGGTGACAGCCTGGGCTCTGCATTTGTTGCCCTTGCATGAGCTGAATGGTGGAGGAGTGCCCAGTGACTGATGGTTCTCCAGGTTCTGTGTCACAGTGATGCTAAAAGGAGCCTTGTTTTTGACTCTGTGCGTGCAGGAAATGAACGAGGACCACAGCACACCGAAGAAAGAGAAGCAGGAAAGAATATCCAAACACAAAGAGAACCTGCAGCACACACAGGCTGAAGAGGAGGCCCATCTTCTCAGCCAGCAGAGACTCTACTACGACAAAAACTGCCGTTTCTTCAAGAGAAAAACGATGATCAAGAGGCACGAGTTGGAGCAGCAGAACATTCGGGAAGTATGGCACTCTTCAGTTGCTTTCCTACACAGTTCTTGAAATTGTACCTTTGTGTCTGTAAAGCAGCTTTGTGATATTAGATCTCTGTGTTTTCAGTTGCCAAACAGAACTGAGAAAAGTGTAGGAAATGTGTTTGGGGAACCTGTTTTCTATACAGAAATGTAGTTGGCGCTCACACCAAGGCACCTCCCAGGCTGCTTCTATTTATTAATGGAAGAGGGTGGCATAAGTGGCTTGCAGAAAGAAACATGTGAGCCACCCACTCTGGTCCTGAGGGATTGATCTGAGCTCCTGCCCCCTAGGCTTGCTGGGGGAGGGCTTCATTCACAGCACAGCTCATGCTGAGCATCACAGCCAGCTGTAGGATAGGAGGGCTGGAAGGGCATCGTATGAGGAGCTCTGCTTGTTGGCTGAAGTAAACACATGTTTAAAACGTGTAATGAAACAGTGATAACTTCAGCCTTTCAGGCTGCTGGGAGTTAAATACCGCTTTGGAAAAAGAATTGTTGCTCCTAGATTTTTTTTTATATATCTATTTTTCAGTATAGCATGTGAAATCTTGACAGAGCATTACTTTTAGGAAGGACTGTGAGATGGGAAGGTGCTTCAGCAAAGGCTGAGATTGAGCAAGTGGTCAACCTGTTCTGATATCCACACATTCATTCTGCTGACATCAGATTGCCCACACACTTAACTGATGAGCTCAAATTCACTGGATCAGGAGCTTGAATTTAAACAACTCTTTTAAAATGTTGGTTGTTTTTTTACCTTTGATGTTTCAGGTAAGCAAGAGGTTGTTTTTGTGCGAGTGGAAAAGCGTGAGGCCTGCAGTGCTTTCATTTGTTCACACTGGACTTGAAACCAGGTGTGAGATGGGCACAGGAGCAGCTGGCTGGCCTGCTTTGAGGCCAAGGCACACGTCCCAGCTGAACACACACTGCCATGTGCTGCAAATGGAACTCACTGCAGCATGTCCTTATCTTTATTTTGGCTGTCAGGGTGCAAGTTTTGCTTAAATGTGAGCGCGTGCAGCGTCTTCACAGTTAGAGCCAGCAGGTTTGGAGTGGATATTTGCAGGTGCTGATGTTGAGAAGTGCAGTGGGATTACAACATGCAAGCAAAAGCTCAGAATAATTAGTTATTTTTGCTTCTGCTGCAGGAATTTGTTAGATGAGCCAACACTGAGCCCTCCATGTGCTGGGCACTGTGTGCATACATAGTGCCAGGCAGCCCCTGCTGTGCCTTAGGCTAGCATGGAGTGTAGTGACGAGTTGGTAAGCTGAGAGCTGGAGCAGAGATGTACCAGCAGACCGTCTGCCAAGGTCAGCAGAGCACCACTGAGGGTACAGCTGGAATCACTGCTCACCTGAGCCGGATTCAGCTCGTGGCTCTGCAGGTTGTTGGCAATACCTTGAGACAGAGATAATGACAGCATTCAGCACCAGTTATCTTCCTGCTTGTTGGTTTACAGTGTGCTGAAGGTTTTCTTGGACCTGCAGGGCGCTGTGTGCAGAAACAATTGTGTGCATTGCAAAATAGCACGAGCCTTGGGATATGTCATCATTTTATCAAATGTACTGTAGGTGGGGTCAAAAATCACCCGTATCTGGTGGCAGATGAAGTAGTTTTTCTTATGCAGTGTGCTTTGGAGCTGAATACTTCTTTGGCCATTAGTAATTAGTGTATAAGCCTCGTCTCCCATCATCTGACAGGAGCCTGGGGAAGTGTGAAACAGACAGAAAGGCCTCCAGTTGTGGGCATGGCTGTCGGTCCCCCCCAGCTTTCAGTACCCCAGGAGGAGTTAGAAACTTCTGGGACTTGCAGCAGCCGCAGCAGAGGGCTGTGTGTGGCCCCAGTGCCACCTGCTGGACGGCCACTGGGGGACCTGGGAGGTGCCTTGGTGTGAGTTACAGAGCCACGCCAGGTCATCAGCAGTGCTCCCACGGTGCCATGGTGGCGCACTTGGAAGAGCTCAGTGCCATCTGGGGCAGTGACACGAGCAGCCAGCCTTGCAAATTCACCTTTTTTTTGGTGTTCTGCTGTGCTCTCGTGCAGGAGTTGAACAAGAAGCGGACCCAGAAAGAAATGGAGCACGCCATGCTGATCCGGCACGACGAGTCGACGCGTGAGCTGGAATACAGGCAGCTGCACACGCTGCAGAAGCTGCGAATGGACCTGATCCGGCTGCAGCACCAGACTGAGCTTGAGAATCAGCTGGAATACAACAAGCGACGAGAGCGGGAGCTGCACAGGAAGCATTTCATGGAGCTCCGGCAGCAACCAAAGAACCTGAAGGTGCTGGAAGCTTTCCTTCCCTCCCAGCCTGTGTCCTGCCGTGCTTTGTGGGCAGGCAGGTTGTGTGTCTGAGGCTTCTCAAGCAGCACCTGTGCCGCAGAACCAGCATTCTCCACCGTGCTCTCCCTTGCATCCCTTCCCTTTGCTCAGAGCTGCACTGGTATGAGGAATTTGCAAGCTATTGTGGCAGAGCTCACCGAGGATTTCTGTTAAATGCTGTGTTAATTGAGACTGCCCATAAAAATAGGCTGCTCCTTACCGAGGTATGACAGGATTTGCTCCTGATAGCCCATGCCATCCTCCGCCCTCGCTCATGTTAGCCTACAGACCTCAGCATGGAAAGGGGTTGGCTGATGCTTCCTTGCTGTAAAAATCAACAAGGGGAGCGAACACGGGTGTGCTGAGCCCTGTGCTCTGTCTGGGTTCAGAGCTGCCCTGGGGGATGGCTCTCTTCCTCAGAATGTCTGAAAAAGCGCAGTGCTTTTGTTCATTTCCTCACACTCTCACAGGTCCTCAGGTCGGCTGTCTCTGTGTAGTGTCTGTAGTGAGGAGAGGCAGCTCATGCAGGCTAGCAAAACGGGAGGCCTCAGAGGCAAGGCCATTGCACTGTGCGGGAGGCAGGGGGCAGCAGCAGAAGACTGATGTCCTGGGCTAAGGAGGTTTGGTTGATCCTGTTCCTGGCCCAGGCCTGTGGTCAGTGGCAGCTCAGCACACACTGGAGTTGCTCTCGAGCTGATCGCTGCGTGCACAGAGCAGGAGAAATGCAGAGCACGGGGGAGCTGTGGTTGTGCCTCAGGGCTGTGTCCGTTCGGGCACGCTGTGACCTCTGCATTCCCAAAGCAATCTGTGCTCTTCACATCGTTCCTTCCTTGGCAGGCTATGGAAATGCAGATCAAAAAGCAGTTCCAGGACACGTGCAAAGTGCAAACTAAGCAGTACAAAGCACTGAAGAATCACCAGCTGGAAGTAACTCCAAAGAGTGAGCACAAGACAATTTTGAAGAGTCTGAAGGACGAGCAGACGAGGAAGCTCGCCATCCTGGCGGAGCAGTACGAGCAGAGCATCAACGAGATGATGGCCTCGCAAGCGGTAGGTGCAGCATCCCTGCCCTCCTGCCTGCGGGCCTGCAGGGCTGTGGGTGCAGTCGGGCCACCAGTCCTTGCAGCACGACGTGTTCTGTCTCACAGCTGCGACTGGACGAGGCCCAAGAAGCGGAATGCCAAGCCCTGAGACTGCAACTCCAGCAGGAGATGGAGCTCCTCAACGCGTACCAGAGCAAAATTAAGATGCAGACAGAAGCACAGCACGAAAGAGAACTCCAGAAGCTGGAGCAGAGGGTGTCACTGCGCAGGGCACATCTGGAACAAAAGGTGGGTTTGGGGTGGCTGCTGGCAGCGAGCAGCTGCTGCCTGAGTGCATGTGGCCGTAGTTGGTGCCCGGCGGGGGCCTGCAGAGGGCTGTGTGTGTTTGAGGGCGCTGCTGAGGGGCTGTGCTGGTTGTGCTTCTTGCAGATTGAAGAGGAGCTCGCCGCCCTCCAGAAGGAACGCAGCGAGAGGATCAAGTTTCTGTTGGAAAGGCAGGAGCGAGAGATTGAAACGTTTGACATGGAGAGCTTACGAATGGGCTTTGGGAATTTGGTCACATTAGATTATCCCAAGGAGGACTATAGATGAGACGAAATTTCTTTGCCATTTAACAAAAAAAAAAACAGACAAAATCAAACAAAATAGGTACAAAACTTGCAAAAGCAACATTCCCCATGTTAACGGGCGTGCTCTCTCTCTTTCTGTCTCTCTTACTGACATCGTGTCGGACTAGTGCCTGTATATTCTTACTCCATCAGGGGTCCCCTTTCCCCCTGTGTCAAGTCCCGGTGCAGGACGGCTCCTGGCGGTCTTTTCCATAGTATGTCACAGTATTGATGTCTCTGTGCAATGATTAAAAATGTTTCAGTGAAAAACTTTGGAGACGATTTTAATGGAGAAAAAAAAGAAAAAAAAAAAAAAAAAAAAACCAAACCCAAGTGGATGTTTGTTGCTTTGGAGCAATCACTCATTTTTCCACCAATCTCTGAAAGTACAAGCAAAAAAAAAAAAATAAGTGATAGATACAAAACCCAGGGGGAGAGAGACGAAATCCGCAGCCTTACCTTAACTAGCTGCTGCATAATTTTATTTTATTTTTATTTTTTTGGTATTTATTCATCAGGAATAATGAAAATAATAATAAGAAAAAAAAATTTTATTAAAGATTGTGAAAAAAAAAAAAAAAAAAATTTGATACATTTTACAGGAAGACAAAAAAAAAAAAAAAGACAAAAAAAAAAACAAACCACCAACCACGGAATCGTGCTGTACATAGCAGTGGTGACATATTATTACTTTGGGGGGAGGGGGTGGGCGAAGCCCTGGCGCTTTGTAGGAGCCCCTTGCCAGGCAGGGCAGCCCTCGCTCCTCGGCGTTACTCTTGATTGTATCATAAATCATTTTCTGCTGTCGCGGAGAATGTCGAATACACTTAGAAACGAGCCCGCGGGATCCCAGTAGCACAAATTGGGCTTTGTCAAATCGTGTATTTTGTGTATAGAAGGAATTTAAGGAGAGCTTTTACTTATTTTCATATTGTATTTTAACTGTTTCTCTGATCAGAAATTTTTTTACTTCTGTCCTCCCCTTTTCCCTCCCCGCCTCCCTTCCGCTTCAGTCCCTGCAGTTCGGCGCTGTCTCTCACACCATCCCCGCTCCTTTCTTTTCTCTTTCTTTTGGCCCATCCTATTGCTTTATTTTCTGATGTTTCTGTTCCTCTCCCGAATCCTCCCCCGGTCTCCCGTGATTTCGGTCATAAATATCGCATTACTCACACTTTCAAACTGTGTATTTTCTTACAATAAAAAAAAAAAAAAAAAAGATGGAAAAAAAAAAAAGAAAAAAAAAAGAAAAAAAAAAACCAACAAAACAAACAACAAAAAAAAAAGGCTTTACTTCTTTTGCATGCACTTTAAATAAAAAAAAAACGACAAAAATTTAAAAAAAAAAAGCAACAAAGAAAACAAAACAGCAAAAAAAAAATCAACAAAACAAAAACGTTTTTCAGGTTCAAAGGAAGAGCATGAGTAACTGTCAGAGCTTTTAATTATATTTGTAAATAAAAGTGTTCATCACAGTGCCTCGCTGTCTCTTTGGGGGAGCAGTGGCTCGGCCTGGCCCTGGGCTGGGGGGGAATGCGTTCAGACTGCTGCATTGCTGCTCATGTCTTTATGCCTTTCTTCCAGTCTGAACTGGCTCAGCTCTTGGGATCTGCACCCTCTGGTGTTTTTGTTGTAGATCTTGGTGTGTTTAGTTGGGGCTTTACCCTGAAAGCTTCCTTGCTGGGAGGACCTGTGCCTGTGATGCTCTGCCTGTGCCAACCCCGCCACCAGCTGGCACCGTGCTGCAGGTCTGGCTGTGCTGCCTTCCAGGTATGGAGCTGCAATGCTGGGTTGGGTTCCCACCCTGGGGGCAAACTATGAGGTAACTCTGATTTCCACAGGGCATTGCTACAAGGTGTTGAAGTTGGTAATGCACGTCTGTCTTTCACATCCCTTAAAAACAGGTCCTTTGAGACAATGAAGCAGTTAAAAGGAGGAGGAAGGCTTCCAGTTGTGTGAAGCAGTTACATTGTCTTCATCTTCTTTAAAACAAAGCCTGTGATTTGAATCCTGGTTTGTTTCCTGCCCCAAGGGCTCAGGAAATAACACCGGGCCTGGCTGCTGGAAGAGCAGCAACCAGTGTACCCTGCAGCAGGGCTGGGATGCATCTTCAGGCGTGTAATGCTGGTGGCAGTGCATGTCACAGGAGGTGAAACCTGCACTCAAGTGAGCAAATGTTGCCCCACTTGCTGCAAAGAATGCATTAGCAATAGGTAACAGGCTGTAGACTACCCTACACCACCCTGGGGTGAATGAGGCAGGGGCTTCTGGGATGTGCCTGCCTTGCACTTTGCTCCTCAAGCCCAGGAAGTGCTACGGCAACTGCCAGGATGGCGGAGCTCCCAGCACAAGGCTCCAGCCTCTCCTTGCACACCTTGAGGAACCTTGCTACATCACACTGCTCCTTTAAGTGCTCCCCTCTTCCCCCCCCTCCCCCAAGAAGACAACCACACTGTCCATCCACCTTGCAAAGTGTTTAATTGCACTGTGAGCAAACACCAGGTCACAACAGAAGTTGAGCAAAGCAAAGCCTCTCAGCTTTGAGTGGAAACAGAGATCAGAAAGTAGTGCTATAAACCAGAGTCCCTACCTCATTCTACTAATTAGTGGTTCACATTATTGGAGGCACCGGCCAAATACTTGCAGGAGAGAAAAAAAATGCAGTTTCCTTTATAGACTGCTGCCCTCTCCCCTTCTGGAAAGAGAAGGCTTCGCAGCCAGAAGTGGTTCTGTACCCACACTGCTGCTGCGTGACACCGTTTTAACACAGTAGAGACACTCTGAAGTGGCACTGAGTCACAAAGGCTTAAGCTTCCCTTGAGCAGGTTGGCCTTGGGGGCTGCTCTCACAGGGTCAGCTTTTCAGAAGCCTATTTAGCTATGGCCTGTACCTACAGGAGCCAGCTGAAGCACAATGCACAGCCAGACCGCTCTGACACCAAAGCAGATTCACTTCACAGAGATCGGTGGGGTTATGGTTCAAGTTACGGCTCAAGTTGTCAGTGCAGGAGCAGCTGGGTTCTCAGCTCATCAGGCAAACAAAACTACAGAGAAATGCTGAGACAAGACCCATCTCCAGGGGAACGGAGAATGCAGCACAGTGCGTGGTCAGGTCCCTTCTCCCTACTTCCCAGACAGCTGCTCATAGAGTTTCGGAACGTAGTCATCCCACTCTGCCTGGTAGCAAGTGCCAGCCACCGGCACCCCCAGCTCATACTTGCTGCGGAAAGCTGCTACCTTGAACTTCCCTCGCTTGTCGCCGGAGCGATTGGACAGGATGGGCTCATTGCAGGCCAGCTGCTTCGGCTGCTCGTACACCAGCCACACGTAGCGGTGCAGCCCTGCAGGGATGAGACAGCATTACAAGTGCACCTCGCTTGAAGTTACGGGGTTGAAGAGACCCCAGCTTAGGAAAGAAGCCTGTGTCCACCCGAGGATTGCTGGCAGCTGATACCACCATTCCCTGAGACAAGAATGACTGAGCTAAATGAGCTTAAGGGAGGTATCTTGAGATGCCTGAATGGCTCGTGTCACACCTGTGCTCCTTCTGGCTACTGAATGCAGGCACAGCCCCTCAACAGATACAGAAGGGGTGGTGCTGCTAACTCCTGATCAGGCTTGGATTTAAATGCAGGTGGACCCGTGGGCCACTTCTGCAGCACTGTGCTCCCCTCCAAGCCCCCATTCACCCACCCACACCACCACCAGGCCCGAGGCACTGCTGCAGGCAGGCACCCACCTGTTCCTTTAGGGGGCCCCGAGCCCACGTAGTCTGACAGCACGGTCCCGCTCCCCACATCGTTACCTTTCATGTTGGTCACCAGGAAGTGATGCCATTCTCTGAAAGAAGGTTAGAAAACTAAAAATAAAACAATCAGGCTGCACAACAACCCTCAGGTACAACCTTCCTCTGCTCCAAGCAGCTGTTTTCCCGTGGGCTGTTAGTGTAGGAGAACCAAATCTAACCTCTGCCATTTCTAATTCGTTAAACCTAAAAAGCAGTGGGAGCTCAGTGCCTGCTGCAGGGCTCAGAGCCCATTGGGCAGCTCCATCCTGCCCTGCAGCACCAGCACCCACCTCCGAGCCCAGAAGCGAGTGCTGCGTGCGTTCCTGAGCCCGAGCTGAGGGCGAGCTGCTCCCTCGCTGCACTGACAGCCCTGATTCCAATTCCTGCACACAGCACAACGAGCAGCAGATCTGTGCCACCTCGAGCTACTAGCAGAAACGGCAGAATCAGCTGCTCTGCCTCGCACTGTGCAGGTCTATGAGGACAGATACAAAGGCAGGGCGCATCCCCCGCCTCCTGCCAGCCGCTCGGTCCAAAAGCAACGCTCCATTTCCCGCAGACTCGATAGGAAATCACCAAACGCCATTACCTGAACTTCGGATCCTTCCGACTGGGCGCATCGGGGTCGGTGAGCACCAGGGTGTAGAGCTTGTGGGGATCACAGCCATCCCACTCGATGCTGGTGGGCCGGTGCTGCACCTGAAGGACCGGCAGCGTCACCACGCGGCTCATCCCGCCCCGCTCCCTGCAAAGCCCCGAAACCCCCGCCATGTTGAACGGCCGCAGCTCCCCCCCGCTCACCTGCGTAGGGGTGAGCACCTTGCCCAGCTCGTCTATCTCCACAGAGCCGTACTTGACGCGCAGCGGGTGCGCGGGTTTCTGCTCCACCTCGCTCAGGCTCAGCGGCCCGTCCCACAGCCCCAGCTCCACCGGCATGGCCGCTCCGCGCTCCGCACCCGGGCTGCGCGACAGCGGCACCGCGCGATCGCCGCTGCCCTTCGCCCTCCCCCCCCCCCCGCTCCCTTCCCCCGTTCCGCTCCTATTGGCTGCGGCCGCGCCGCGCTCCGCTCCCATTGGCTGCCGGCCCCGCCTCCTTCCCCCTCTCCCGTCTTTAGGGCGCCCCCAGGTGGCGGAGCTGCGTCGTGTGGCCCCGAGGGCATCGGCCGGGGAGCGGCGCCGCTCCGCTGTGCTTACGGGCAATAAACTCTGGGGGCAGGCCAGGTAAGCGTGGTACACGGCCGTTAATCCCTGACGATACAAAGTGTCCCACGCTGAGCTGTAAACGTGGGCTGTGGCTGCCAGCGAGCACTGCGCCGATCACCCCCAGCAGCTCTCGGCCTTGGCCCGGCAGAGAATCGCCTTATTTGTGGCACTGGGGAGCCGCTTGCGGGGCCTCGCACAAAATCGAGCCCTCTCTCCTCCTCGCACGGCCGGCCCGCCCCGCCCTCCTCGTTCCGCAGCGGCGAGGCCCGAGGAGCTGTAAGATGGCTGTAAAGCAGCGCCGCGCTGCGCGGAGGGGCGCCCAACATGGCGGCGGCGGCGGCGGCCGGGGGCGCTCAAAATGGCGGCCGGGGGCGGCCAAGATGGCGGCGGGCGGCCGCCGGGTGTCCCGTCAGCGGAGGCGGCGGCGGCGACGGCCGGGCACCGGAGGGGGAGGTGAGGGCGGAGGGCGGATCGCGCCGCCTCCAGGCGGGTCCAGCCTCAGCAGGAGGTGCCGGAGGAGGCGGACGGCGATGCGGTTCCGCGGCGGGACGGCGCTGGCCGGGCTGCTGGTCGCGCTGTGTGTGTGGCTGCGGATGCCGCGCCGCAGCGCCGCAGGTATGTGAGGAGGGGCGGCCTGAGGGAGCGCAGCGCTGCGGCTCTGGAAGCACAGCTGCGGGCGGCCGAGCAGAAATCCGAGGGTTTTTCTTCCTAAATCACCTTTGCTTCTGAATTCTCATCCGCCTTCAGCAGGGTTGCTGCCCTCGGACTCAGAAAGGCCCTCTCCGCTGGGTTCTGGTTAGACGGGATGTGAGGAGCTTGAGGAAGGGGCTTCGTGTGTCCCCCCGTGCCTAACGCTCTGCCTTCTGTTTTGCAGGAACAACAGAAGTGGTCTTTGGGAAGGTGGGAGGAAGCATCCTCCTCTTGTGCCGCAATGTCTCCAAAGAGGCCACTGAGGTGCTGTGGTTCCAAGGGGACCCGCGCTCTTTTCCCCCGCTCTTCTCCTCGAGGGTCGCCTTCCCCCCAGACGTCCGCTTCTCCCTGGTGGACAACAGCTCTCTGCGCATCTCAGAGCTGCGGCTGCAGGACGAGGGCAACTACACTTGTAAGGAAGTGCTGAACAAGACAGACCACGAGCACAGAGTCCAGCTCCTGGTAGCCAGTAAGTCTGTCCCAGAATTTCCACCCCTAGGTCGCACAGATCCCGTTTCCGTTCCTTATCCATTTTCTTAGAAGTCTTCATAGGCCTGGGCTGCATCCTGCTGTCCTCCCTGCCAACCGTAGGGTTTGGAAGAGGGGAAAGGCTGTTGCCAGTTCTGCTTCATTGCCAATCTGTGCTTTACCAGCTCTTGCTTTTCTTGTTGATCTTTCTGTTAACATTTGCAGAGTGATGGCTATTTTCTGTTTGCATTCAGGGTGTTGCTGCTTTGTTGGTGTTTGTTGACAGGTATGTGTTGTAAAAGTTGTACCTGTTCTGTACAGATTAAATCTCTGAACGTTTGCACAGGTGAAAATTCCCTTCCTGGGGCGAGGAGCCTGCAGATGGAGTCGGAGGGTCACAGGGGCTGGACTGGAGGAATCAAACCTTAAGCTGCTAGATAGATAGATAGATAGATAAATAGAGAATTTGGTAGGCTTAGGGCTTAGAAATGGGAGCCCTAAATTTAGAGCAATGAAGCAAAATGCTCGTGAGCAAAAGATATCAACAAGCAGCAGTGCTGCTGCCACTCACCGTTTCTGAGAGTCACTCAAAATCTGAGTTGTTTCCGCACATTGTCTGCAGATCGTGGAATCATTATGATTGGAAGGATCACTGAGATCATGTAGTCCAACCACCAGTTGGTTCTGAAATTGGTTTGTTAATGTGTGACTTGTCAGTTAATTTCCAAAGGTCACGCAGGCACTGTGCACCACTGGAGTCTCCTGAAGCAGGTGGGAAAGAGATTTCTAGTGATGCTTAAGGCCAGTAAAAGCAACATCAGCACAGGCTAAAAATTGAAGCTTATCAACATAATGTTAGAAGCAAGTACCCATTTTTTTTTTCATGCTCTCTGTTGCTGGCCATAGGAGCAGCTTGGCCAGGGCTGCTGTGAACGTCAGGTACAGACACAACATCACCCAGGATCTTCAGGCTTTGTGTGGAAGTTAGCAGTTGACACCTCATACTGGATGTACCAAAAAGTTTTCTTTGTGCTTAAAACAGTGCTCTGGCTGCGCCCACCTTTCAATGCAGGGCAGTTTCTGGTGTCTCAGGCTGACATTTTGCTCTTGTTAACCACAGCCAATGTTCACAGTCAGTTATGAGACCACCCCAGAGCTGGAACAGAGGAAGTGCAATAGGAAAATCTCTTGGCACAATTGGCTGTTCTCAGAGCTCATAAAAGGTGCGTGTATATTGTTCCTGGAAAGCCAAGCCCTGAGAAGGTGTTGTTGCAGCTCACGTGGGTTTTTGCCATGATTTTTTTCCCGTTTAATCCAAATTGTGTGATCTCTCCAGTCACTTGAAAAACGCTTTACAAAATAAGCATAACTCATCCTTCTTTGACACCTTTTCTTTGGAGCTTTCTTTGGCAGCATCTCTCAATCTTGTTGAGCATTGTAGCAGGTGAGCCAGCTGCAGGGACACTGCACTTCTTCTGCCTGGATCAGAGTCCAGAATCCCTCTGGCTGTTAAACAAACGTGTGTGTATTTGCATATGGGTGTGTATGTGCAAAAGTTTCTCCACCAAAATCCTACTCTTGGGCAGCCCCAGAAATGTGAAGAAACCAGACGATGGGGGAGAGGCATGAAGTCCAGCTGCATGAAACGTGAGCTCTGCTCTGCCTGAGGGGGCTGCTCTTGTGTTTCTGTTGGCTTCTGCCCCATCTTGCCTTTAGTTGCTTCTGTATTTAAATAGCAAACTCTCGGCTACCCGATGGTCGGCCCTGGTGTGAACCCAGCAGTGCCTTACCCACCTCCCTTCTCTTGGAGTTTGTCCCCACTGCTGCAGTGTGATGTGAGCACAGCACGGCAAGGGGCTGAGCGAGGCACTGGGACCCCACGCAGCAGTGACAGCTGACTCCATCAGACGATGCTGTGGCAAAGATGTGTCCTTCCCCTGTGTTCTAGTGGTTGCTGTGATACTTCCTGCAAAGCAGCCTTCTGCTTTGTCCCTCTTGGCTGTCTCAGTTATGCTCCCCTGAGGCAGTGGCGCACCAATCAGGGGGAAACGCAGGGAGGGAACCCATGGAGAGTTTCAAGGGGAATGATTGCAAAGCTAAGCTTTCTCTGAGGTTCCAGCCCTGGGACACCAAGTGACTCGGATATGTTTCTTACTGCGTGACCTTCTTGCTACAGATCCACCACGTTCCACCCCGAAGTGCTGGGCTGAGAGCTCCTCCTCGGGGCTGATGCTGCAGCTGTTTTGCAGTTGGCCTGGGGGGTATCCCCACCCCACCCTGCACTGGCAAGAAGAGGGGCACGATCTGCAGAACTCCAGCTGGCTCATCAGCTCCACAAGCTCCTCAGACACCCACGTGGAAACACTGAACAGCTCCTACCTCTCCCACCGCAAGGTGTTCAAGTGTGTTGGGAGCCACGTTGTGAAGCAGGAGGAGCCTGCATGCTCTGTGGAGATAAGTAAGTTGGTTTCTTCACCGTATTAATGATTAATGGTGGGGCAGACAGGTATCCTGATCGTTCTCTGCCCTCCAGAGCCAGTCTTGCTGGTTCTTGCAGCAGGGGAGGGATGCAAACAAGGCAGCCTGACAAGATTTGGCTGTGCAGAGGTGACTGCACAAGGCACAGAAGTCCTACAGGTGAGATCTAGCGTGGCAGAGTTGTTGTTGAGTCGTGTTTTGGGTTGACAAATCCCCGTGCACCAACCTTTTCTCCTGTGCAAACACTCATACCTGTGTCCAGAACAGAAAACATGAACAAGTGATTTGAGTGCCTTGCTCAGCTTGAGTTTAAATGTACTGGGGCTGGGTTTATGTCAGAATGGTTTTGTGTGTCCCCAGCCCCCTGGGCCGCCCTTCTCCTCTGCCATATTCCTCCTGGCTGCCCTCCAGGTGTTGTCCTCTGTCGATATAAACGCAGGTGTCAAAAATGGGAAAAGTGAGAGTTGCTCCTATCACATAATATCATATCGCTCCATGGAAGGCTGCTCGAGTCTCAACCTGCATGTTTTCCTCTGTTAATGATTACTAATCAGTCGGATGGCTGACAGATTGTTATGTTTAACCCTTCCATCTCTTCCTTGACTGTTTCTTTCCTTCTGGGCTGGTTCAGAAGTCCCCTCGTTGGAATTGGAGCCCCCAAAGACCTGTTTTGTGGGTGACAACGTGACCCTGACGTGCCGCGTGACCGAGAGCGTGCCTGCAGCAAGACTCACCTGGCTGCGGGGCATCACCCAGCCAGAGATCGAACCTGGAGGGAGGTACTTCATTGCCCAGGAGGGCAACGTGTCCCACCTCACCATCCAGAACTGCTCCCAGGGCATCGACGGGGGCTGTTACATCTGCAAAGCACAGAACCCCGTGGGGCTGCGGGAGGTGTTCGTCTGCCTGACGGTGAAGCGTGAGTAGGGCTGCCTGGGGTTGCTGTGGCTGGGAGTGTAAGGAAAGCAGGGACACAGCTCATGGCAAGTGCTGGAGAGCCCCTGTGGGACTGCGTTTGTCACTGGTTGTCTGTGATACTTTGTGCTTTCACTGCAAGCGAGGTGTGGGACTGGGTCTTCTCATCCCAGAGTGAAAAGGCTCCATTCCTCTCACCTTGGTGTATTGGGCCTGAGAGAGGAGCGCAGCTGCTCCTTGGTCCTTCCTGTTGATGCTGGGGGCAGAGGAGCTCTCAAGCAGCAACAAGCAGGAGCGGATTTGTTTTCACAAAAACCTTGCAGTGTTGTTTTCCATGTCAATGAAGCATGGTTGCTTCATCATACGAGCACACCTTGTGTGGTGGTGGGACTGTAGGAATGGGGGGAAATCGAAGCAGCACAGCACTGAGACCTCTGTTATTTGAACATCCTTGGCATCCATCCATGTCCCAGCAACAAGTTGGCCTCTTTTGTTTCCCTGTTCTGCAGAACCAACGTACATAGTTGGAGTCGTGGGTGCGGTGGTGGTCCTGTCCCTGATGGCTGTCCTCACCATCTCTGGGGTTGTCTTGTACTACAATCCTCTCTTGTGCCTCAGAGGTAGGAGCTCTCCTCTGTGCAAGCCACGGGGTAGAGAGGAATTTTCCCTAACCTACCTGCCCTTCCTGTTGTGTTGGAGTCAGCTACTGACTACTCCCAGCTCTTGGGCATCATCGTGCTCCTGGTAAAGAGCCCATCCTCCCTGGAGGAGCTGGGCTGGAACACAAGGCCCTTCCATAGCTGGATGTTTCAAGTAGCTTGCCCTGAGCTCCTGCAGGGAGCTGTGCAGAGCCATTCCTACTCTTCCCTTTCCTTCCGAGCTCCTATGCACAGCTGGTAGGATCTGCACAGCAAAACCAGCAGCTGCTCTGGAATTGGTTTCTAACACTCCCTTCTCTCCTCCCTTCTCTCCCATTTAGGTGCTGCATTCAGGTAAGTTGCTTTTCCTCAGTCTGGTTTGTTAGCCTACCATCCTGGCAGCTGTGATCTCCAGTAGAGCAGAACAGAGCTGTTCTTAGGTGAAAGTGGAAGGGTTCAGCATGGCTGGGTGAGGCTTGGTGTGGGTGAGGGAGCAGGAGAATGAGGGGAACACTTGTCATTGCCTCTGGACATGCAGAGGTGTCCTGTTAGCATGGGGAAAGACTGCAGGAGAGCTCCATGGTGCAGGTGAGCCCTAAAACTTGGTGTGTAGAGTGAAATGATGATCTGCTTCTCTGCATGGGTGTCTGCACTGTGTCCTCTTCCTTTGGGGGGACTGTCTGAGAGCTGCATGTATGCGAGTACTTCTGTGGGGATTCTGCTGCACTGGATTTCTTTTCTGCTTCCTGCTGTCACCACTCCTGGCCCTGCTCCCTCTCCTTGCCCTTGTTGGTTCTGTTCCCACAGCTGTGGTGCTGCGGCATGGCAAGACTCTTTTCTGAGTGCCTCCAGTTCCCCATGCGTGCAGGAGGGGAGGATTACTCTGTGCAGGAGGGGTTCTTGCAGTGTAGTACATGACTGTTGATGAGATGGTTGGAGGACTTTGGAAGATGAATGGGAAGCAGTGCAGAATGCTGTTGGTGCTGTTGCTGCCAGCAGGGTGTGAAACCAGCTTTTGTTCGCACGCGGTTTGTGCGGGGTTGGAAGAGTCTGTCCAAATGGGTGGCTGTGGTGTATGGAGTTGTCAAGGCCAGGGGAGATGCAGACTGGAGGAACAGGGTCAGGAGAAGCTGTTCTCAGCATCAGCCCACCTCCCCTCGCTCTGCTGTTGACAGGAGCCAGGACTCTGATGACGTCTTAGTGCTGGTGGACTCGGAAGATGATGATGATGATGAAAGGAACAGGGAAGAGAACACGGTGGGCAGCTCCATCAAGCAGGAGGTGATGGCGCTGGTCAATGGAAACAGCATCCAGGCTGCTTATCTCAACTGCCCGACAGGTGAGCCCTGCTGCCTGCCTGCTGGCTGGGTTTGGGGGCTGGAGCAACCAAGGGGGCGAAGAACTGTTCTCTGGTTTGTTGACTCTTGCTGAGGTGCTGCTCTGTGCCCTGTGTAGGTGACGAGGGCGAGCTGCACAGCGTGGTCCCTCTTCAGAAGACAAATGGAGAAGATGCACAAGGCACATAACCTCCATGCCTTGTTATGGAAATGCACAAAGCTCCAGCTGGAAGCCCAGCACCAAACGTCCTGGTTGCCTTGTGGCTGAGCACAGGCTGTTCGTGTCCTGCAGCCATCTGGTTCAGCCAGAGCACCCCTCTTCCTTCTCCACTCCCCCAGCTTTCACTCCACCCTTCCAGCCTCGTTTCTCCCTTTCTTCTCTCTTTTCCTGTTCCTCTTTGTCTCAGATACCCTTCTTAACAAGGTGGCACCAGCGCAGGAGCAGAGTTCAGCCAATAGGTGCCAGTGGCCTGCTCATCTCAGTGCATGTCAGCCTTGGCTACGGTGTGGGGTTTCGGCTCAGTCACTGGCAGCAATGCTAGAGCTGTGGGGAGCACATGGAGAACGTTGCCTTGAGGCCACCAAGTGGCTGTGCCAGGATGATGGAAGAAGCAATTGGAGGATGGGGGGGATGGGGTGGGGATGCTGACTTTCCAAGGAGACTTAATTGTTTTTATTATAAATAATTGTTTTGGTTTTTTTTTTCCCAAGACCTGCACTGTTTTCTTGGGCCCACAGTGAGGGTGGGACTCAGAGGGGTGGGAGCATACAGGAGGAGAGTGAGGGATGGATAAAGCCCTGCAGCAGTGAGCAGAGGGGTGTGAGCACACGCACAGGGAATGGCGGGGATCTGAGTGCACCTGGGGGAACAGAGGGGAGCTGAAGAGGAGGTGGGGAGGGGAAAACATGGAGAAGAGCTGTGTGTGTGCACTGTGGGAGGGAGCTGAGCCCCTCTTGCAGTGTGAAGAACCCTGCAGAGGTTTGGGAGGGCTGGAGTGGGGAGTGTGGGGGGAGGACAGAGCGTGGGTAGGAGCATGGAGGGGGGGATGTGTCCCAGGGAGCCGTACCTCCACTGTCTCCTGTCCCACTGGGGCTCCTGGCTCCGACAAGCCTCACTGCAGCCTGGGTTTCCCATCAGAGGCCTCCTCGTGCAGGGGGCTCAGTCCCTGATCCCCAGGCCATACGTGTGTGCTCCCAGCTTCACCGGGTGACGCTCAGAGCTGGGGGAAGGAAGCATGCACTGCGGGAGCCTCTGGCTGCCCCTGGCAACAGCATTGTGTGCCTCTGCCGCCTGCAATGGCCGCCCCACGTCCTGCTCCTCTGCGCCCTCCCCGTGCTGCACAGGATCCGGACGCTGTCCCTAAGACGTCCCTGGGTCTGGAGGAGCATCTGAGCAGGGCCTTGCAGGACAAGCTGCGGTTCCAGTGAGTGTCCCCATCCTCCCCCTGTAGGCTGCCATTGTGCCCACCAGCAAGGGGCTGTTTGTGCAGCTGATCTCAGGCTGGGCGGAAGGCTCTGAGGTGTCCCCAGCCCTGCAGGCAGGTGACATCCTGTTGGCGACAGCCCAGGCAAGGGGCTGTGCTGCAGCCTCAGCTGGGGGTAAGGGGTAACCTGCACACCCTATGGCTGAGCCCAGACAGGCATTTGGGGGGGGTTCTGTTGTGGTTGGGGGTCCTGGCTGTGCTGCCGGCTGTGATGGTCTGTGTGCGTCCCCAGGAAAGTGCCAACATGGGACTCAGCATCTCTGCTGCCCTCCAGGCGCCTGCTGCTGAAAAGGAGGGAGGTGGTGGAGGTGGAGCGAGCCCTGCAGGCCCAGCGAGAGGTACAGCCCCATACAGCCCCCAGCCCACCGCGTGCCCCCCATGCGTGGTTGTTTCTCCTCCATAGTGGGACTGAAACCACAGCTTTCCTTTGGGTGCACAGTGGTTTTTCCCCCTCCTCTGAGCTGGGGGGGTGAGGAACCTTGTGAAAATCAACATGGGCAAGTGTAGAATCGGGGGAGAAATAAGCTGGGGATGATTCAGAGCCCAGAGAGGTGGTGGAGTTTCCTGCTCTGGAGGTGCTCAATCCCACCTGGACAGCATTCCTGTGCAAACTACTGTAGGGAACAGTAGAGAGGGTGGGATGGGGGAGCTCCAGAGGTCCCCTCCACCCCTGTGACTGTGTCCCTGCCCCTTGGGTGTGGGCTGTGCTCCGGCCACCCTGTGGTCCCTCAGGACTTCCAGCAGCAGATGGACCGCCTGGCACGGCGCCGGCAGCAGCTGGGCCAGAGGGAAGAGCAGCTCCGTGATGACACCATCAAATTCAATGCCTTCCTTAAGGTGTGAGTGGGTTTGGGGCTGGGCTCACGGCCACATCCTTCTGCCATCCCCACCAATGGCATCTCGATGCCCCAGGCCATGTCAGCAAGGCGGCAGCGGGCGCAGCAGCGGGCAGGTGAGGAGAGGGCACGGGCGGCACAGCACAGAGCTGAGGCCTTGAGGCTGCAGCAGGAGCTGGAGAGGCTGCAGGGGCACAGGGAACAACTGGGACAGCGCCTGCGGAGCCTCCGTGTCTTCAGTGACTTCCTGCAGGATGTGCGAGCGGCCACGGGGCGGGTGAGGGTTCCTGTCCCCAAGGAAGGGCCTGGAAGCGTCCTGTTCATCCCCTCAACGCTGTGCTCCAGTTTCAGGACGTGCCATCCATGCTGGCCCATTTTGGGGCACTGATGGAGGCACAGGCGGTGCTGCTGCAGCAGGTGGAGGCCGGGCGGGTGGCATTGGCCCAGGGCCGGGCTCAGCTCCAGCAGCGCTGTGAGGAGGCTGATGGCGAGCTCACCAGCGGCAATGAGGAGGTGCTTCAACTCCGTGCCCGTCTGGAAGCTGCCCGCCATGATGTGCTGAAGGGGGTAAAGGCTGCAGGACCCCCAGGGCAAGGGGCTGTGGGATGGGACCACCTGCAGCCCTGAGCTATTTCCCTGGCCCCAGGAGTCCCGCTGGGCCCAGCTGGAAGGTGCTGCAGCCCAGAAGACGCTGCTGCTGGGGCAGATCCGGATGGCGGTGCTGAGCCTCTTCCAGCTCGCCACCACGAGGCTAGAGGTCCCCAAGGATGTGGCCCTGGGGGACACAGAGGCACAACTGGATGTGGTGAGTGTGGCCCAGCAGCCACGGGGCTGGAAGGGATGCGGATGTCCCTGTGACACAGAGGCCCCCGTGTCCCCAGCTGCTGCTCTGCATGCAGGACCTGGCTGCCATCTGTGCCGAGCTGGGGCTGCATCCTCATGTGCCTGCCACCACTGCCACAAACTCACAGCATCACAGGGCTGTCGCTGTGCCTCCCAGCCACGAATAGATGGACTTAGGACACAATGAAGCATGGAAGTCACTCCTCAGCCAGTCCAGGGAAGATGAAGAGAAACGCCCCAGGACAGAGCCTGGGCCACCAGCACCCTCCTGCAAGGCACCTGAACAGACAGAAGTAGAGCAGCTGCTCATCTTCAGGCCACTGATACTGATAAAGCCTTTTCCTATCAAAATATAACACAGCTGCAGTCCCCGAGTGCTGCGTTCTTTTAGAACTGAACCTGGGCGAGGCATAGGACACAAGAGAGGAGGCAGGCTCCAAAACCAGCTGGGTATCTATTTGATGCGTCCTTTGCTAGGCCATCTCCTACATCTTTTTTCGGAGCTTTCCCTTCTTGGTGGCCCCAACACGGCGGCCGAACGCCATCTGTCGCAGCTCCTGCACCCGCTGCCGGTTCCGTGCCTTCAGGCGCTTCAGGCCCCCGCGCTGCAGGAAGCGCTGCTTGGCCGCTGCCTTGCGCTGCTTCAGGATCTGCTGCTTGTTCTTCAGCTCCGAGCGCACCTTGCCCTGGGTGGGGGGCCGCTGGGGGGCTGTGGGACAGACACGGCCATGGGCGGATGTAAAACCAAGCTTGGAGGCCTCAGAGATGCAGGGGGGGTAGATGGGGATTGGTGCTCGTTCAGGTACTCACCGTGCCCACGTTTGTGCTTCCCTCTGTATTGCTCCCGGCCTCCCTGGTTGTCTTCGTCCTCGTCTCGTTCATCAACCTTGTTTTTCTGCTTCCATTTCTCATAGCTGCGGCAGGTTAAGGGCGGGCACAGCGCTTCCCAGCTCTCACCCTCCCCCCCCTCCTTCTAGCACCAGGCAGAGCCCCCTCTCCCGTCTCCCCGGCTGCAAGGCCACGCAGCCCCACACCCAGCTCCCCCAGCACAGCGTGGGCAGGATACAGGTTGTTCTTGTAGGAGCTGCTGATGTAGCGCCCGCTCTCTGTCCGCACTTTCTTCTTCTCCTCCTGGCCCGTCTGCCCCACAAAACGCTTCTTCTTGCGGTCCCTGGGAAAGAGGGAGACTCAACAACAAGCCACCTCCATCCACCTCACTGGGCATCCCAATTCTACCTGACACTGCCCAATATACAGCAAGAGTCACTGGCTTCGAGGGGAGGGAAACATCCCCTTGGGCTCTGCTCCCTGCCCAGCTCTTTCCTGCCACAGTCAGACCTCACTCACCACTTCAGCAGCTGCTTGCTCCTGTTCAGGTTGTGGCCTTCATCACCCATGAGATCCAGCACAGCCCCAGCTGCCTGCTGCTCGAAGGCACTGCCCTCACCGCCCACACTCAGCCTGCACAGAGGGGAGCAATGAGAACAGCCCGGGCTGCTGCAGGAGGGTGGGGGAGTGCTCCCAACTCACCCCCGCTCGCTCTCAAAGTCCTTGGGTCGATATGGGATGTAGAAATCCTCATCCCGCTGTGCTGGCGGCTGTGGCTTTTTCCTGGCACCATCTTCTGCAGCCCGGCTCCGTTTGCGCTTCCGTCCCACCACGGTGGAGAACACCTCCTGCAAGGGGGCAAACGAGGGGCTGAGGCTCCATGTCCCAACCCCGGGGCCAGGTTCTTCTAGAGGTTCACATGCCCACTCCAAGGCCAAGGCACAGCCCTGTCCCAGCCCCGTTACCTGGAGGTTTTCCTCCTCTCCTTCCTCCTCCTCAGGCTTGGGGGTGGCTGGATGCAGCCCCTTGAGAGCTGCTGCCCGCTTCTCCTCCTGCCCACGCTGGAACTTCTCGATGAGGGCACGGTCGTGTCGCCGCTTGGAGCGCATGATGCTGCTGGCCAACGTGTGGGCTGTGGCATTGATCTCAAAGATGGTCTGTGCAGAGACAGAGCAAGCCCAGGAGTGAATGGTTTAGTGGGCACGGTGAGGATGGGTCGATGGCTGGACTCGATGATCTTTAGATCATTTTTTCCAACCTCTGTGATTATGGGACTTCCCTCTTTTCTCATCCCTCCCCTCCTTCTGCCTTCCATCCAAAGGCCAGGCCTCAGCTCACCGCCTTGGACTTGTAGGCTTTAATGCTGTCCACCAACTTCAGCCTCTCCAGTTCAGTATCTTCAAAGTGAGCACCTGGGGAGCACAGAGGGATCAGCTCATCCACAGGGGAGAAGCATCCCCTCCCACAGTGCCCTGAAGCGCTCACTGAAGAGGGGGTGGATGCCCAGCTGAGACATGTCCATCTCCTTCACCCTCTTGATGGACTCGGGCGAGGGGCCGGGCCGGGAGCGCAGGTACTGCTTCTGGGCATTGTCAGCCACGCGGCGCAGGCTCTGCAGCTCCAGTGAGCCCTCGTGGTCCGTCAGCAGCAGGCACTCCT